CAACAAGATACTTTGAGAAATAAAGATGATTTTAAATAGATTTCATGAATTAAATCCCAATTTTATCATGACAATTGAAACACCGGTTAGGATCAGTTGTTAATTAGGCGTGGAAATTAGACATTTCAGCTACGATAAAATTCCCATTTAAACGGTTATTATCAGAAAATTGTTTAGTGCAAGGGAATGATCATTGTCTTGTTTTTATGAGATAATGGAAAAAAAAGAGAAAAGAGGGTTGGTCAAAAAGTAGCTAAAAGTTGAGAAAAAAAAGAAAGAAAAAGGAATGACATGAATTAAAAAAGTGAGTTAAAATGAAAACAAGAACTAAGTAAAAACGACTTTTGCACCAGCTCTTCGTTACCTAAAGGGTCGTTTAGAAAGTTAAACGCAAAAAATATATATGGATATTTAAAAAAGGAGAAATTAAAAATCAAATGAAAAATAACTGTTTAAATATTAAAAAGTAATAATATGTAAAATGAATCTTAACTGTTAAAAGATGGCGGATAAACAAATTGACGGCAAAGAATCTATTAGTGAAATGGCCTCCCATTTGAATTTGCGGTATTTGGACACGTTTTAGAGATAAACTGAAACAGAAGATTGAAAAAGCCTCAGAATTGATAAGCGGAGAATTTGAGGAGTATGATTTGGACGAAAATACTCAGTGTATCGTCATTTATAGAAAATAATTAATTTAATTCGAGAAATGTAGAAAAGCAAACAGAAAATCTTGTGATATAAATGGGAGATGGTGAGGAAATCGATACGAATTGGACGATGACTGCAGTTAGTGTCACAGTGTTATGGACATATAATATGTAGAATTGAAATATTTCTTGAGAATGCTGTATCATGTAAACGAAAAATCGGAAGAACAACCACAGAAAGATATAGACAACCATACGCAAATTCAGCTAAAATAATTAGGGCAACAATTAATGTCTTCACAAATAAAGCATCAAGAATTTGCAAACAGGACAGAACACGAAAAACTGTCAGGAGTAAAACTACAAAACATAGAAATGATATCTTTTGCAGGTGATAAAATAAAGTGGATTGCATTTTAGGACTATTTTCCAAGTGCTGTGCAAAGAAATATAACATTATCATATGTTGAAAAAAAATACTTTAAGTTACTTGAAAGGGGAGTTTCATGGGGAAACAACGAGTGCAATTGATGGATTAGCAATGACGAATGACAACTACCACCAAGCTATTGTTTTTTTAAAGAAAAGTATTTGGAGATACTGAAGAAATTATAGAAATCAATTACAAAAAGGTCAATCAACATTCCACCAGTTATAAACAGAGTCAGCAATTTTAAGGAATTTTCATAGATGAGGCAGATAAGCTTTTTAGAAGTTTTAGATCAAAGTATCATAGAAAGAAAATACTAAGATTCAGAAATTCATGCTTCAAGTGTTTGAGGATCGGTCATCAAGCAAGTGAATGCACGATAAGGAAAAATGCTTTCACTGCAAATAAGCCAATGTTCATCATAATAGTTTATGCCCAACAAATTTCAAAATAGCAATTCAAATCTTATAAAAACGCTCAAATGGTCGAAGTAAAAAAGGACGAAAGCAATAAGTACACAAAGATTGAACCAGGTCTGCTTTCAATAAATGAAACAGTTTTAATGCGAACTGTCACGACAAAAATACGGAAAATGAAAAATATGAAAATGTGAGATTAATGTTGGAATCCGGAAGTCATAGAACATATATGTAAAACCAAGCAGGTAGACTTAACCTTAAAACTACAGGGGAGCAAAATATACAAGCAAGTGATAACTTGTGGAAGTAAAAGAAGACAATATATGTCAATAACTGCAAACATTGTATCAAATATTACTGGAAATTTAAGAAGAAAAACTATAAAATTGGCATCACAGAAAGATTACCCACAATTGACACAAAACCTTACAATGGTAGATTGTTAACCAGCTGAAAGTGATACTGACAGATTAGACTTGCTCATTGGAAATTATTCTTATTTGAACATTGTAAAACCAGATTAAATTGAAGAACAACCAGAACTCTATCTATTGTCATCATGTTTAGGATGTATATTAAATGGTAGAACAAAAGTAGATGAAGATGAAATGTCAAATTACAATAATGTTCACATGTCAATTCTACAATATTGAAGTTCAAATCTTTTTACAAGCGTAGATGAAGCAGTGCCAACAAAATATGAGTTATAGGTTAATGGAGTATTGTGTCACTTAGAATCAAGCCTATTGAGGATTCCGAAGTGAAGATAGATATGTCAAATTTAAAGGAAACGTTGCAATATCATGACGGACGGTATAATGTGAATTGGCTATGGATGGACAACAAAAATAATCTACCTACCAACTGTGAACTTGCATTAGGAATTAAACTAACAGTAACACGACTACACCAGAATAGTGACTTAATGAATAGCTATGATAACATTATAAAAGACGTGTTACAAAACAGAAAACATAATTAAACATTATCTGCGAGACCATGCTATTCTTACTCGCGATACTACAAAATTGAGGGACGTTTACTATGCATCTGCAAAAACAAAATCAACCAATATAGTTTGAATGCATGCCTTAACCGTGGAATAGTTATTATACATGATTTATGTCAAAAAACTATTGAGATTCAGGTTACATCATAAAGCGATAGTTGAATATTGAAAAAGAATTTCATCAAGTAGGATTACAAAAGAAGCTAGATATGTCACAAAGTTCGTGTGATTAAAAGATATCTAAAAGGGAATGTCAGACGTTTCAAATGTTGAAGAATATCGGTTTTGCACTGTGCTTTTTTGCGTTTTAACTAGTTCCTTTCAACTAGGTTCTTAAATTGAATGCCATCTTTTGCTAAAATTGATATTTACGTTGATAATCTTATCACAGGTACAAGCGGAGAAGATGAATTAATACATTTGTACAATAATTCGAAATTAATATTCAGTGAAGCGTCAATGAATTTGAGGGAATGGGCAACAAATAACGAGAATGTAAATAAATATATTCACTCAGATGATGTGTTAAATTCTATGATTAACAAAGTATTTGACACATGCAGGACATTTAAAATGACACACTTGGGTTAATCACATCCAAAAAAAAAATGTTAAGCAAGAAACCAAGTATTATAAAACAAGAATGGATTAAAGCATGTTGCATCAAGATCCATAAGGACTATTTACTGCGGTTGCAATGCAAGGAAATATATTTATTTTATTTTTTTAAATATGGAAAATAAAGCTAGACTGGGATGAAAATGTTAACGAAAAGGAATTCAAAGAATGGAGTATAATAATACAAAACTTAGAAATAGTAGACTCGTTAAAAGTAACAAACAAAAATATGTAACTAACTAACTAACTAACTAACTAACTAACTAACTAACTAACTAACTCCTTGGAAGGTTTTACGGATGCGTAAAGAAAGGTTATGCTACGTCAAAATATTTGATACAAGAAATTGAATATACGATGGAGTCTAATTTGGTATTTGCAAAAACTGGGTTAGCACCAAACAAGGAGATATCAATACCAAAGCTTATGACTATACTGTTTGGGGTAAGATGCATTTGTTTTGAACTCACAATATGTGTTAAATTGGATAAAAACAGAAAAATTACTGAATGTGTTTGTCACAAACAGAGTAAAAGAAATAAAAGGTTTCAGTGACATTGCATTTGGCTTCGTATCTACGAATGAAAATCCAGTTTACATTGAAAGTAAAGGAATTGCAGTAAATAAATTAAAAGCTAGAAGTTATTGTGGCATGGACCTCAGTGGTAATCACGACCAATCAATCTATGGAAAAGCAACACAGTGATTGAAATGATGCATGAATGTACAGAAAAAGAATTTAAATCGGAACTAAAGAATAAAGAGTTATGATGATATCACAAACACAAAATAAATGGGACATTGATCAAAGTATGCCTTTTGAAAATAAATGTTCAACAGAGTCAAAATTGTTTGATATGTAATAAGATTCACGAAAATGATAAAGCAAATGTCCTTTTATCGTGATTTGAGTATATAAGATCATTTTAATATTTTGTCATTAATTTGCCTGTGTATCCCTTTTATTGCAGTTCATGATTAATTTACATGATATTGGATGTTACAATTCTAAACTTTTGGATTTATATAAAAAATGGATGTTGAGAACTTGAATATTTTAGGAATTTAACATTACTCCAAAGTAACAAATCACAACTATATTGGTAATCACATCTAGTAATCAAATACAAAACTTGAACTGATTTTTATATACATTTTTATCACATTTTTGTACATTTTAGAGCTTTATAGCAGTAAATAAATCAATGTATACTAAGTGTAAAATACTTAATAGAAATTTAAAAATACAACTTAAAAAGCTGTTAAGAACCAAATTTTATTTTTTTGAAATTTCATTTTTTTCAAATTGATTTTTTTTTATAAACTTAATTATTACAACATAACATTTTGTCCTTAAGGGGTGTATCTCTATTGGCGAGATATTTTAAATTTACTTTTTTTTAGTTTTAGATGTTTACATTTTGTTTATATATACTAGATACATAGTTATTTTACCAGGACTTTTTATTGGTTAATCGAGGAAAACTCATATAGCTTTTAGGGGGTTTTACGCAGGGCTCTGAACAGATTTACTGTTTCCTTGAATTTTTGAAATTTAAAAGAAACATTTGTAGAAATAACACCGAAAAGTGTTTAAGGATAAAAGAAAAATAATGTTAAAAATGTTTGATCTTAAATAATCGAACTGTTTAAAAAGTAGAAAAATCAAAACAAATGAATTGCATTAACTTTAATGTGACGGAAGAACAAATAATATATAACGGGTTGCTACAATAATTTCATAACAAAACTTATTATAACCCAACTTTGTTGCCGTAAGCTAATGACTATACATGAAGTAACATGAAAAACAGCAAAATCAAAGAAAACAATTTTCTTTAAATTTTTATTTCAGATAAGTCTAAAACTGAGGACACACGTTTTACTTACAGATAAGAATTTTCAAGACTTAGATACAGAGGAAAACGGGAAAAAAAATCTTTGTTACAATAGAAATAGCCTCAACTGATTTTTGATCATCTCATCTAAAAATGGAAATATGTGTAAAACAGTTAGGCATAGAAGTCAGAGGGGTCCGTCTAACAGACCCGACAATATCTTCAGACAAAATGGTTGAACAAATCAAAAAGTTAGTTACAAAACATCGCATCTTGATTTTCAGAGACCAGGGTGAGGTGAGCGGAGACAAGCATGCAGAAATTTCCCGATGGTTCGGAATCATTGGTGGAACATTGTCCAAGGATGATCCACTTTATTCCCATCCCAAATGCCCTTATCCGGATGTGTATAGAATTTCGAATGACCCTGAAGAAGGTTGTATTAATGTTGGACGTTCCGGTTGGCATATTGATGGTAGTTACTTACACGAGCCTTTCGGATACGCTTTGTACCATATAATTGCTGTACCAAAGACAGGCCCTACAGGTCACGAATCAATATTAAATATATTTATTAACTAGCAATTTTCTTGTTTTTATAATTAAATAATTTTGTGTATTTCTATAGATACTAATATAGTCAGTTGTAACTATTTCGGTATAAGAAGGCATAGTTCTTTGAACTTTTATTTCAGAGTACATGGCTCAAATAAGTTTCTTTTTTTGAGTAATCAAACCATCAATATATCATTTGGACCAATATGTGCAAGTGTTTTGCAGTAAGCTATGTTTATTATTATTCCAACATTTGCATGTTTGGTTCAATTCCATATTTTCACAACTTTGCTAACGATATGGCAAGTTTTGATCTTTAACGATAAGGCAGTGACATAACATCATAAAATATACAAAAATTCTTCTATAATTTTCTCACAGAATTTATTGGTTTTAAAGAACTGATTAACAGCATTTCTGAAGAGACGAGAGCAAGATGGGAGCGTCTATGGATGGTTGCTGACAAGGGAGAAAACCTTGCTCAGCCGTTAATTTATTCTCATCCAGTAACTGGAGAATCCGTAAATATTTTCATCTTATTTGAATCACAAATATATTATCTGAGATAGTTGTATATATGCATAAAGCGCCAAATTCTGTTGTATTCACATAACGATTTATATTATACATGTACCACTTAATTATGAAGAAACTGTTAAATATACAATTATAAAAAGTAAGAATATATTCAACACGACCAGGTTGTTATCAAATAATGGACACTTCGCGTTTAAGATCTATTAAGTAAAATTATAACACTATGCAGCAAATTGTTTTCACGCATTTAGTTTATATAAAGAAGATGATGCAAAATAAAAAGGTATGCATTGATTGAAAATAAACTTCTTAAATTTCATGATCCCTATGTTCCGATGTATCGGAAGATATTTGTTATTCTTCAACAACTAGAAAACTTAAAACTTGAACTGTAACTAAGGGTGACGAACCATTGTTACACGAAAGTATATGTAATAAAATGCATGAGTTAAAACCAAATTATATGTCTTAAAGCACCCCCAAACAAGTAAAGTCTGACTGTCAAATTTAGGTAATGTGTATTCATCTGGGCATGACAAAGGCTTTTATTTGGGACAAAGACACACCCAATGAGAAAAAAACTAATTCGGATGAGACAAATGAATTATTAAAAGAAATCAGATCAGAGATTGAAAAGGACGAAAGAAGATTAATATATTCGCATGAGGTTTGTAGTTTTCTATTTCAACCATTTAAAAATTATGATGTCTGAAAACAATATACATATATGTCTTGTTTGCGACACATCAGCAGTTCTTCTTTTAAACCATTAAACCTTTGAGTAATGTGAGGGGTGTCATTTTGGAATAAGGATAAAAAAGTCTCCGTGTGACCTGTAACAGTATCAGCAGAAACCCAATCATAATTATTTTCTTATTTAACTAAAGAGTATACAATTGATTTAGCAAAATGTTTGTAATGTTTAATCATGTTTGATAACAGATACATACAATTTAATCATAAAAAGGGTGTCAAAAAAGAGATCATGAACGGTAATTGAAAGTGCAAGTTACACCCCCTCCCATTTTTACCCCCTCCCCTTTTCACCCTTACAGCCCTTATCCCTTTAATTCTCATATGACCCAGTTTTAGTTTATATTATTTCACACATAACATGTCCCTCTCGCCGCTCTTATGTCCACTTCAGGTTTTAGTTTGGTACCTTCTGTGTGTCCTACTTTGTTTTTCTACCTTCCATGCCCCTAGCACCGGCTTAAGCAGACTTCAACATTTTATCATCATCATGGTAATGGTGAAATTTTGCATTTAGAAACATCCACAGAAGCGTTTATACGACAGTTATCATTATCATGGAACCTTTAATGTGACACTTTCTTGCCATTCCACGAAAAGCTCCGTATTTAAGTTTAACACGAGACTAAATTTGAAATAATTTAAAATTATATATGATATATAAATGTTTTACTCACACAAATAAGATTGAAACTTGGATCAATTAATTATTTTGCCTTCAGATATAAAACTCACTATCAATGTCACTATCATTCATTACCAAATGTTGAAAACAAGGAGCCATTTTATTTTTTCTCAAGCTTTTTTCTGATACATTATTTCTAAAATATGACTAATGCATTTACACAGAAATGTCGGAAACTTATGTCAAATGTACAGACCGTAAAAGTAATGCCAGCTTCCCTTGTCATAAAGTTTCGAACTTATTCTGGTTATAAGTGTTTCGATCAGATATAACCTTCTACTTATTCGGTGAACCGTCACGCGTTGTGGTTTAAACTGTACAAAAAAGGATTAAATGGGAAAATTTTAACAATGTTTAGAAACATGTACAATATTGTAAAGTCTAGTATAAAATTTAATAATGAATTTTCTGATTTTGTTTGAAATCGCGGCGGTGGGCTTACGTCAGGGGCAAAGACAAATTCGCCGACATTTTTCTCCTTATTTATTGAAGACATCGAATCGTTTTTTGCAGCAAGATAATACAACTGGCCTAACCATTAATGAAATTTGTCTTGTAATTTTGTTATTTGCGGATGATATGGTAATATGTGGCGATTCTGTAAGAAGATTACAATCGAAGACTGAATTCTTTACGCGAATATTGTGAAAAATGGGGGGTTAGAGGTAAACACTGCAAAAACCAAAGTTGTTGTTTTAGGAAACGAGGGCCAGTGAAAAGAAATGAAACTTTTCATTTATAATGATGAACAGTTAGAAATTGTTGATGATTTCCAATTATTTTGGAATAACGTTGAATTACACTGGTACTTTCGCTTTAAAATATAAAATGTCTAAAAGGCAAAGCACTTAGGGCGATGCACACATTGTTAAATAATATCAAAAGATATAACATTCGTCCGGATATTTCATTGCAACTTTTTGATGCATTCGTAGGATCGATATTAAATTATGGTTGTCCTATTTGGGGTTTACTAAGTCTTGTGATTAGAGCGTATTCATCTACAGTTTTGCAAAAACAATCCTTGGTGTAAAACAATCGACAAGTAACGCAGCTATATAATGCAGAAATTGGGTCGCTATCCTTTATAATGTATTTCGTTTTTATACATATTTATTAAATACTGGGTCAAGATTATCAATACGGATAATATGCTATTAAAATCAGTTTATGCACATTCATTGGCAGCAGTATTATAATGGTAGAAAGAATTGGGTTTTCCATGTTAAAAAACTGCTTGATGATTATGGTTTTTGCTCTGTTTTTGTAAATCATGAAAACATAAATTTCAAATTATTTGTAAATTTTGTTCAAGAAAACAGTAACGGATTGTGCCTTACAGAAACTATTTGGAGATATTGAGAAAAATGAAATACTGAAATCCTTGTACATACATTTAAAACCGAGCTTTGGTATATCGGATTACTTGATTAAAATAAATTCGTTTAAAATACGTAATAGCATAACTAGATTGCGCGTGTCGTCGCATAATTTATTTATAGAATCTCTTAGACATGGGCGTAATAAAAACCAAGAAATGAAAGATTATGTTATTTCTGCGGTAATGACATAGAAGATGAATTTCATTTTATAATCACATGCAAAAAATATTCTGACCTGAGAAACAAATTCATACCAAAATATTATGTGAAAATCCGAGCATGTACAAATTTATTGATTTATTAAGTTCTAAAAAGAAAAAGTCTTGTTAAATTTGGGAAATTTTATAGCACAAGCATTTAAACGCAGGGAATTAATTCAACCGAATCTTCAGACATAATTATAAAAATGTTATCTTGTTAGTAAAATTACTTTATTTCTTTTCATTCTCCATGTTTTGTTAATGCAGTCCAAAGATGTAGTTTTATCATTGTATGACACTTTGCTACTAAATAATGTTAACTTTGATGATTACGTGATGTTTAATTATATTTGAACGTATGTATTTTGTGACCATGTGCATTTTGTACACGTCTTATGTGAATAAACTATCTATCTATCTATCTTATCTGATAGTAATTGTTTTTAATATGTCCTTTTGAGTTCAAACTGGCAATCTCTTTTGTCCAACCATAATCATTTTTTCTATGTTATCACAAATACTCTGAAGATTTGTGCTTTTCTTGGCTTTTCAATTCTAAAAGAATACGCATAATTTTAAGTAATTTGTCAATCTATTTTGCATATAATTATATAACCATAAAATGGATTTATTTTTTACATGTTTGTACAGATAATAATATGCCTTGTCTATATATCTAGTCATCTTTTTTATGTAAGATGTAATTTCTTATCAATGTGATATTGCCGTGAATATTCGAAGACCTTCTGTAGACAAAATTGCTGAAACATGTCTGGTTTGGTTGACTTCCACTTTTTCTATATCTATTGCTCTAAATTGAAAAGCATTCTGCATAAATTTCCTACAATCATACAAACCTGTGAGTTTCCTGTGAATTGACTTCCTTCACTTAACATTACAATGTTTTCAAAGTTTTTTACAAGCAAATGCTCCATGCACATTTGTAGAAACACAAGTAATTCGATAAAGGCTTTATCAAGAGTCTCATTTTTTCTTTTACCACTATAAATTTGATCCATATTTTCAATAGAAACACCTAATGTTTATTTTTTTTTTACTTTTATTTATTTAAAATATTTTTCTATGAACACTTGATTTCTAAAAAAACAGAATAGAGCTAATAGTTTAAAGTGCATGTACAATATAAATTAACGCAATGAAAGTAATTAAAAGCTTTTTTTAACATAGAAATAAACTTGTTATAGTAATTGATATTTGAGCTTTTAGTAAATGTGTCAGTATTACTGCAATATCTATAGTGAAATATAGTTTTGTATACAATGGCAGCCGTGTGCTTGTTTACCCACTATAATTACATGGCGAGCTTGTCGATACAGTTTAAAGACAATTGATTATTATTTACATTTTGATATGGTATGATCTTTTTACTTCCTAAAATATGTAAAGCATACTTAGTGAGATTACTCAAATTATGTAATTGTTGAATTTTGACTCTTCTGTATTTTAAAAAGTGTTAGGCAAAAAAACCCCCAAATTGCAAAATGATTCTTTATTTTGTATGAATTTTTTGTTTTAATTATCTTATTAAAAATAAAAATTTTCAGAAATTTTTGAAAACAACTAATGGTCTTATCCCCCTTAGGCATAACCCTGTTATTTTGCAATTTGTCTTTTGACGTCTTATCTGTGATATGTAGGCTTCAAACCTCAAATCCATATTGTTAATTCATTTTTGTTTGCTTCCGCCTATTTTTCTTTTTAGGACAAACGCATTCTTTCACATGGGTACCATACGCCGCTTGGCATGGGATAGTGTCCCATTCAAGGTTCCATGACTAGTAAAATGGTTTCCTGCGGTGAACATTTTAATGATATAAGAGAATATTTCATTTAACTATTTTCAACATTTATTGGGGGGGGGGGGGGGGGGGGGGGGGGGCGGGGGGGGGGGGGTAAATAAACGTTTGTATCAGGAATATAGTTGACAATTGAATAAACGATCAATATAGAAGAAGTTAGGTCTTTGAAAACTGGTGACCGTTAAAGACCGGAGAAGGTCGAACATAAAACAGTTATTTTCTTTGTAAGAAAATGATTAAAAGGCCTACCATTTTTATAAATAATTCCCGAGCAAAAAAAAAAATAAAGTAAACACAAACAAGTTTACGCAGAAAAATATCTCTATTTATTTATGGCAGATGCCACTACGAAAATATTTTAATTTTGTAATTTTCAGTATCTTTGTAAAATTTGAAGATAGATTTAAAGAAACATTGATAATTTTCAAACACATCATTCAAGTTTTTCCACCTTAATCGGTAAAATAATTATAAAAAATTAGAAATATCACGTAATAGTTTTTTGTTCTAAATTAGTGGTTATTCGGACTAATTCCCTACAGGTTAATCCGTAACATACCGGCAAACGGTATTTAGCTAGGTTTTCGAAAAGGTCAATTAACCAATCATGTACGGTTAACAGATCACATGCTCCTCCATGTACCGAAAACCGGTCACGTGCTCCTCCATGCCTCAAACGTTAAACGCGTACCAATACCCTGCGGTCTCCAGACCGCAGGGAATAAAAGCCCTATGAACACATCTGTGAATGTTTCTAAATTCAATATTTCACCATTTTTAATTTTATGTTTAATATACATGTATCATATTGCTTGAGTCGGTGCTAGGAGGTGTGGCTAGTAGCTAGCAGTAACCAATTCCGTCCATGAACAGGCTCTTAAAGGCTTGACGAAGCTCTTAAAAACACTTACATAATCAAAGTTGTTGTACTTTTTATCTTTACTGATTGTTAAGCACGACATTATTGTTGTTTGTTCATGCTTTTGGTATCTTTAGATCTTTTTATTTGATCTTTTTATACTTGGGTGGTTCCAGTATTTCTACATGAATTCTGTTTACTCACCGTTAAGATATAGTGCCTGCTTTTAAAATTTGTCTTTTGGTGTCTTTTCTATAACCCCTGTAAACCTGTGGAACCCTATTACCACCTTTTATTTTTCATTAAGACAAACGTATTTTTTTGATTAGGATACCATGTTTAAATCTTTAAAACTGTTACCACTACTACATGTCCATGAACAAACTCAAATGCAACAGTGTCTGCAACATTTTCAATTTTAACAGTTTATTGTAAAGAAATGTTAAAAAATCTTAAATTGGAGATTAATTGTGTTTTATTTTAGTGGAAAGATGGAGATTTTCTAATAAGCGATAATCTTGCTGTGGGCCATTACGCCAGCAATAGTTCTGCAAGGGCTAGGTCAGAGATAGGATTACGGATTCTTCATCGTACAACCGTTAAAGGAATCAGTAGACCGACAAAGATGATTTTAAAATGAAGCAAGGCGTGTGTTTTGGTGACATATATTTACTTTTACGGAAGACTAGGGGTTATTTAATTGTGAGGGACTTGTTTATTTATTTAATTTACATGTATTTATAACTTTAAACACATATAATTATACAATTTACCCTACGATTCACTTCTCTTCTTTACAAGTGGTGCTTCGACAATTTTAAACCTAAAGATCAAATGAATAAAATATGATGACAGATGAAAAAGCGTATGAAATAAGGGTGATTTATGAAACATTTATGTATATATACAAACTACATATTACTATTTTAGATAAACCGAACAGGTATAATGGGTTAGAAATATCCTGATACACTTTTTAATCATGTTTTTTTTCTTCTTCGTTATTTCAATTGAAATAACATACATATTAAGCATGTTTAAAATGTATTATGCTATATCAGTGTGGCAATACCACGTGACATTGACGTCATTTTCGGCATCACATCGAAGTGATCCTGAATGTGCACGTTCATTGGACAGGCTAGCTAAGTCAATCCGAGCCTGCAACATTTTCAATTTCGCCGTTTTGGGCGATATTTAGGGTTTCTGTTTTCTATTCCACGTTTAGTATTGCTACATGACACAAATAGACTTTTCATAATCATTACCGTGAAAGAACAATGATTAAAGAGCAAATCAATTTCTTTACAGACAACAATTTTACGACTTTTAAAATCACTTATAGGGCAGCGAGTAGAAATCATTTAAATATTCATTTGTGTTTATGTAAATCGTAAGGTAAATAAAAAATGTTTTTTTCAAATGGTTAAACATATATTATAGAAAGAGAACGGTAGGCATGTTGCTTCGCATTTGCAATGGATTCTAAAATCTGCTTTTAAACTGTAGTTCCTTTTTTCGACTTGGAACTGGTGCCAGAATTGACAATTGAAGAAAAAATGTAAAGATTTATGTCAATTCATAATAAAAAATATGAACATATTTAGGTAGAGTTTTGCCTTCCGTACTCCCCGGTTGATGTAAACCGGACTTTTTAATCATGGCGTAGACCAGATAACGCCAGAAAAACGAAATAGCTTGCAACTGAAGCCCGCTCTAATACAAGCAACTTCCAATGTTATGCAAAGTGTTTGATAAAACGGCTTATAAACTAACGAAGATCAAATATTCTGTGGAAAGCTTATATTTTTCCCCGTAGACTGGTGCATATCCCAAAGAAATTGGTACAGAAATAAAATATTTAAGGCTATTTTCTTTTCCGAATCGAGCAACATTTGTCTTGGAAATGATGCCGAAAATGACGTCAATGTCACGTGGTATTGCCACACTGATATGAACAATTATGATTTTTTTTTCATTCACTGTTTTTGAGAATGAAATTATAAATTTGGATTGACATTATGAATTGTTTTATAGAATTTCGATCTTTCCATGAGGATTTATGATTGATTGGTGCCTCGATTAATATCTAATGTATTATTTACCTCATGCTGTCATGTACATATTGGGCATGTATTGTGTGTAATAAAGATATTGTATTGTATTGTAAGTATATTAATTGTACTAGAAGTACTATTAGGATAAGGATTAAACAACATTATGTTCTGAAATTAGAAACAAAAACAACAGGTATGATTAATCATAAATACAAGTGAACAGCGTTTTTAAAACATAATTACAACTGAATACTGAAAAGATGTTTGCTTATCACGTGCTAATATCATTATCATTGTATGTATTTAATTTGATGTTGTATTAACAAGATACATGTATTGTATACGTTAATAAAAATTCTGTTCTGTTCTGATGTTGTTGTTTTTTTTTACTTGAAATGATTTTAAAATAGCAGATAAATTGCATTAATATAATGTTTTGTTTTTTTTAATACCATTAAGATATGCCTTTGTATTTTAGCGTGTATGAAATAGATTATTAACATAATTGATTTAAATAGAGAATAACTCAATTAAACAATTATACTACTATAAAGTATTTACTTTTAAGAAAATTATGCTCACTAAAACATTTGCACAACATGAGAAAAAAGACAACACTACCAAAATATATGAACATGTGTGCCACGGGTTTATATTTATTAGGTGCCTTTTAGTGGCTCAATTCTTCGCTAGAGTATAAAGAACTGGTCTGTTTAAAAACGCACGAATAAAATGTTTACATTATTTGTTTGTTTGTCTGTTCGCCTTTTTCAACAGTATTTCAGTCATATAGGCGGGTAGTTTCCTAAACATCGTTCCTGGAGAGTTACACCAGTACTAGACCACCTTCCTCCGCGCTAAACTACCAAAGCATCTCCCGGGGATCGAACCCACGCCAGAGAGGTAACTGGATTAGAAGTCATCGACTCTAACCCCTCGACCACGATGTTTACATTAAATCCTAATCAAAGCTTTAATTACGTCTTAAATGTGCATTGCATTTTCTATGTGAGGATATGTTTATGTATAATTCAAAATCAATGAATAAAATGTGAATAAAATCAATGAATCAATGTGTTTCAAAGCAACATATTGTGGTTATATACGTTCATTGCCGTTATAGACTACATGAATTCTAATTAAGATAGAAGTCATTTTTTGCTATACCTGCTAGATCTATATCATATTGAATATTTCATTCATTTCAATGAGATTGTTTTGATGTGATAAACATTTGTAACCGAGTACATATGTTTAAATTATTAAACGTCAGAGAACTGTTAAAGATATGGTGATTAATTTGAATAAATGACAGCTTTGTAGTATAATGTAACCAGTATTATATTGCAAAATCATACTACTGTGCTGCCACAGGTCCGCCTTTGCTAGTTCAGGACCTTCAGGTTATAGGGAGAGTTGGGCTGACTTGGGGATACAGGGAGTGTCGAATTGAGTTTACAGGGAGATTTGAGTTGATGTTATCCTGGGAAAGTTAAGTTGAGATTATATAAGATACTGATAGAATTTTCATTTCATGATATTATCACACCAAAACTCTTGGAAGTTTATATTTTTACCATTAGTAGGGTTCCATACCAATACATTCTGTGCCGTGTAAAGCGAAAATAAGATCGGGTCTACGAAAATAAGATTTATTTTTGATATTATGTATTAAAAACGTATTTTTGTTGTTAATAGTTGATTTGTATGAATGAAATAATAAATTTCAGAACCAAAAAAAATCATTTAAAATAGTGAATTTTCGCATGCCTGAATTCCCACTATACTCTTTGGGATATATTTACCATATGTACCGAACAAACGTCTTATATTTCATTACAAAACATTTCATTCTTTATGATTTCATTCATACAAATCATTTGATATCAACAAAAATACGTTTTCAATACAATTTATCAAAAATAAATCTTATTTTCGTAGACCCGATCTTATTTTCGAGCTATTTTCGTATGAAAGTATTTTCGGCTCAAACTTCACTTTTTAAATACTTTTGTTTGGTTCTGAAAATTTATTTGCTGTAAAATCATTCAATGAATGCATATATACATGTATATTAGTTATATAATTATTTCAACAGATAAATGCACTATTTCAAAAATAAATCTAATTTTCGTAGCCGCGATCTTATTTTCGCGAAAATAGCTTATTTTCGGTATCCATCTATACCGCATCTCGGGTATATTTATGGGTGTGTAAGTGCCATGCATGATTTTTGTTTTGTCTTGCTATATGAATATTTTACCACATCTATTGTTATCATACATGACCATATAAATTTAGTGTTTATCTCGGCTTATTTCTGTAATTTGGTCACAAAGGTATATTAAACTGTTACACTAAATGTTGGAGATAGTATAAGATTATATTGAATTGTTGGCAAACAGTGATTAGAAAGTGACTAGTCACACCTGTTTTAGATGAGGCAATTTTTATTACAATCTGTACCAAGTTCATTCCAATAAATTATAAAAGCCATTTTGTATCTATGTTTTTTCTTTACACAATTAAAAATATTATATGAAATCACAAAGATATATTAAATATATATCCATGGGGATAATATATTTATCTAATATCTCAAATCCAAAAGACGTTGGCATGTATATATCTATTCTGACTAAATATAGATAACATAGCGAGGACACAATGGTCTAGTATATTACTTCTGACTAAATATAGATAACATAGTGAGGACACAATGGTCTAGTATATTAATTCTGACTAAATATAGATAACATAGCGAGGACACAATGGTCTAGTATATTAATTCTGACTAAATATAGATAACATAGTGAGGACACAATGGTCTAGTATATTACTTCTGACTAAATATAGATAACATAGTGAGGACACAATGGTCTAGTATATTAATTCTGACTAAATATAGATAACATAGTGAGGACACAATGGTCTAGTATATTAATTCTGACTAAATATAGATAACATAGTGAGGACACAATGGTCTAGTAGTAACACACTCTGACCAGTAATTCTGGTGTTGTCCCATCCCTCAGCTACTCCAACTTAAATATCTAATACGTCTTTTGTTTGTATCAGATTTTATAACCGAGATCTTGCGTTATGGTGCCTATACCTTGTACGAAACTGAACAAGTCAGGTTAAGTCAAATATTTTATTGGCAAAAACAAACACATGACGAATTGATGAACAAGATGTCCGTTTCTTCTGAAAGTGAGTAATTTCTGGCTCCAAGACGTAGTAATAACCAGAGCAGTCATATGTGTATTTTAGTTGGCGACTTAATTTAAAAGCAGTCATATCATCTAAAATGAGCATCTAAAACATTTACTTACAGGGACATTGCTTTTTTGTGATATTTAGATACCAAATTGGATAATGTTGTTTTTAAACTAAGAAAATTCTTGGAAATGTTGGGCAAAAAATTGACCTTGCTTAATCTCTTAATATAATGTTTGAGGAAAATGTTTGAAAATAGGTGATTTATGACTCCAAACATCTGTTTTCTTTCAGGAAGCATTTATCCAATTACCGTGAAACACACACAGATTAGACAGCTTTTCTTATTTACTTTAATCTCTATAAAACTAAGGTACAGTCAACTATTATCCAATAAAATACCAGTATCTACAAATAGGTCAGTATCTTCTACTAACAGGTCAATATAAATTAGAAAGACTTTTGTAAATGGAAATATTTTAATTGCATTGCATGACAGAAAACAAACTACAAATGTATAACAAATTGTATATAATACAATCTTTGAAAAATAAAATGAGACTTAAAAAATCACGCTTGCATATAAAGACCAAACTAATGAATTAAACCCTTTTTAGTTTTAAGCATAGAAAATGCTCAAACAACTTTCAACTTCAGAGATCTTGACTAAACCAGAGGAATACCATGTCACCAGAATACTCTTTACATTTGTTCGCAAGATGGTTTATAAAAAGTCCAATATAAAACTATTTTAACATGTTAGGTGGTGATCCTTAAAGGTATATTTGTTTTTAAGTTAAAGCAGGTACCTGATCAAACATAATAGAGGTCCATCAAGATGGGAGAGTCACTAAAACGTTACGAGAAAATGTTTCAAAACTTTTACTAAATTCAGTTCTGGTAGCCCAATCAGTTAATAGTAATAAAAGACATCACAAAGATGCAACACAGCAAATCAAAAATATCTTTACCAATGCTTTAGTTTAAATGTTAAAGCTCAATAGTGAAGAGCATGTGTGGCGACTCCTTTAATCCACTCTGAAGAACTAAGCAGTATTGATGTAATGTTTGTTTGTTTGTTTCATTTTACGCCTTTTCCCAACAGTATTTCAGTCATATAGGCGGGTAGTTTCCTAACCATCGTTTCTGGAGAGCTACACCAGTACTAGACTACCTTCCTCCGCGCTAAACTACCAAAACATCTCCCGGGGATCAAACCCACGCCAGAGAGGTAACTGGATTAGAAGTCATCGACTCTAACCCCTCGACCACGGAGGCGGTACTATTGATGTAATGGGAAGAAACATGACCATGACACCAGTATGACTCAAAGTTAGAACAAAAACATTGTGTAACCTATTACATTGTGTAACACTTGGCCACAGTTCTTTTACCACTCATGATTTCAGAAACACTAGAGCATTTTTCAATTGTTATATTACCAATAAACCACCATGAACATTTGATTCGGGTAGCTCAACATGTTATCACATAAGCTGCTTCATGGAACAAAATAATTTACTATTGGTCAATAAATAATAACCAACCATGAAGATATGCTTTGGGAAGCTCAACATGTTATCACATAAGCTGCTTCATGGAACAAAATAATTTACCATACTATTGGTCAACAAATAATAATCTACACACTAGAGACCAGTTTAAAACTGACACCTAACAATTGATAAATTATTATAAGGGAAAAAAGATATCTTTATCTTATTATGTCACAAAATTTTGACTTTTTTCATGTTTCAATGTTCAAGGTATGAAAATGGATTTAAATGAGCAGCAAAATATGAGCCCTGCAAATTGTGTCTTATGGAATCAACTTTATAATGGGCTTTCATTATGTCATTTGTGCCGCGTCACAACAAAACCAACATAATTGGTTTGCGACCAGCATGAATCCAGACCAGCCTGCGCATCCGCGCAGTCTGATCAGAATCCATGCTGTTCACTATCAGTTTCTTTACTTGTTATAGAGTTTGTAAGGGAACAGCATGGATCCTGATCAGACTGTGCGGATCCATGCTGGTCACAAACCCATTATGTTGGTTTTGTCGTGACGCGGCTCATTTATTTTTAAATTAATTTTTTATTGTGTTTTAAGTCAACCCTACATTGTTACAATCATACCGGGACTTAACGGAGATAGGAAGACCTTATGTTCGACTTCAGGTAAAATTTCAGAAAAGTATGTACATTAGTAGAACTGATGGTCATTGTATAAAGCTAGCTGGATAGCTTCCTCGCATGAATCAACATGTATCACCAGCAGCAATCAAAATGAGGGCATTTTATTCAAAGACAGAGATTTTAACTATATAGCCATGGCCGTCCCACTAAATCTAGTCCAAATATAAATTTAGAGTCTGGAAACAATAAAGTTTTATTTATGTAGATCTTCAGATTACCAACACAGTAGAAGCAAATAACAGAACACGTCTACAATAGATGTGAATAACAGAACATGTCTACAATAGAAGTGAATAACAGAACATGTCTACAATAGATGTGAATAACAGAACATGTCTACAATAGAAGTGAATAACAGAACATGTCTACAATAGATGTGAATAACAGAACATGTCTACAATAGAAGTGAATAACAGAACATGTCTACAATAGATGTGAATAACAGAACACGTCTACAATAGATGTGAATAACAGAACACGTCTACAATAGATGTGAATAACAGAACATGTCTACAATAGAAGTGAATAACAGAACATGTCTATCATTGTCATGGCAAGAAATATTAGACAAGGAAAATAAGCCCTTAAACCTTGTTACATCGGATCTTTCCAGTGTTTACAGTTAAATGCATATTGGCTGACTGGCTACCCAATTGTTACCCTGGGATAATATACCCGGTATAGTCACTGGATGACCTGGTTTACATGTAAGAACATAATATTGTCTTGTTTACAATACTGTTTGTGACCAGTGGAACTAGCGATGAAAAGAAAAAGTGGGACTTAATGCCACTTTGTAACTTTGATTCAATTTAAAGTGTCAGAGTACTTGAAATGTAACTTTAAAAAGTTTACTTGCCATCAACTTGATTATGTCTGTTCTAAATAACCTAGTCTCTAGTGTCTACACATTAAACATGAGATCTTTGAATGAAAACAAAAGCAAATTCACACTTGATAATCATACTATAAATTAAAACAAAATAAGAATTATATATACATGTATAAAAGACACACTTCTCTATATATGTATGATTACTATAAAATGTAATATGCAAAAAAATTAAACTGTAAATTTCTGAAGATATCAATATAATATATATAATATTACAAAACTTTTGCATTTTAAGAAAACAAAAAAAATTCATTTTATGAAATCATCAAAATGACTGCCATAGAAAAAGAATGTTGCAAAGTTTTAAAAATAATATACAAAAGTGAAACAGTAATCTATATTTAAAATATTAATTTCTTAACCAAAAAGGTTTATGTCTTAGGTAAATATTTTTTCTTTATAAAAAATCTGAAAATGATGCATGTTCATAATTCATTGCTGTAAAGAAATATATGTCAGTCTTATTAACAAATGTAATAAGTAAAATTTGTTTTAAACAGTAACTTAAGGACATTTGAAAGTAGGAGGCATTATTTTAATACAATTTACAGTAACAGTATTATTCAATATATAATGTTATTGTATTGTTCAACATACACTAATTACATATTCAAGTCAATAAAACTTGTGTGAAAACTGGTAGACTCTGACATAAAATATTTTTAATCATAATTTCAAAGATCCTGTATGTTATAATTAAGGTTGTAACAGTTACAATCTGTTTTATTTTCAGCCTGTAGATAAAAATATCCCCCTTGATCTTTGGTCAAATTTGTTATGTTAGCCCAGATTAAAATGAAAACCCTGGATCAATACAGAATAACAATACATTACATGAAAAGAGTTTTAAAATTAACAGCCACTGTGACATTGATCTAATCATCTTTGACCTACTTATGTAAAAAACCTAAAGACATTTCAATTAATAAGAGCAATTATTTAATGAAATTTATAAAGAGTTTATAGAATATGTAAACAGACATGTGGAAGACGGACTGATTGACAAGCCCAAACACTCAACAAGAGACACAATGAGAAAAAAACAACAGTTTTCATAATACATACTAAATAAATCTCACTCTATATGCTTATAAAAATGTTCATAAAACAATGTGCCCAAGATTCAAACTATCTCAAAGAGCTTATCAATTTTTTTTTTTGACATTGTATTCCACAATTTATTACATATAACAGTCCTGTAATTTTAAACATTATAGTAACTAGTTTTATTAGGGCCTAATAAAAAGCCAGCATCAACTTTCTCCTTCATCTACCCCATTGTTTTTCTCCTCTTCCATCATAAGGTCCCTTTCCTTCTCCATCCGCTTGATCATCTTTTTAGGTAATTTTTTCTGCCACAGTCCATTGGCAATTTTAAATTCTTTACTCTGGTGTTGAACAGCCCCATACTGTATTTGAAAATCACAGAGAGCTTCTAAGGGAGCAGTAAGTACCTGTAATATAAAACAGAAATATCTAAATGATACATTCATTGTATGCCATGTCATTTCAATGTCAATATCACTGACTAGTATTTTTAAGAGTACATTGTTTTTAAAAGTGAAACACAAAACAGCCCTATTAGTTAACAAGAGGGCCATGATGGCCCTGGGGTCGCTCACCTGAACATAGGCCCCCAGGGCCGGGCCAGTTTAAACCAAAGGGCTTTTATTTGAACAAACTTGGAAGACACCCATTAAAAGATATTTCATGATGTTAAGTTTTTACTATACACAAATAATGAATAACAATGACTTTTGCCCCCTCCCCCCTCTCCCTGGCAGGGCCAATTTTGACCCAAGGGCTTTTATTTGAACAAACTTGGTAAACATCCATTAGAACATGTTTCATGCTAAATATCTTAGCTCTAGCTCTTTTGGTTCTTTAATAGAAGATTTTTAACTTTTTACTCTATGTATATAGGGAAAATCAATAACCCCAGGGACAGGGCCAATTTTGACCCCAGGGCTTTTATTTGAACAAATTTGGTAGACACCCATTAGAATATGTTTCATGCTAAATATCTTAGCTCTAGCTCTTTAAAAGTTTTTTTTTTAAGTTTTTACTATATGCATATAGGGAAAATCAATGACCCCCTGGGGCGGGGCCAATTTTGACCCCAGGCCTTTTATTTGAACAAACTTGGTAGACACTGATAAGAAGATGTTTCATGCTTAATATCTTAGCTCTTGCTCTTTGGGTTCTTTAAGAGAAGATTTTTTTGAGTTTTTACTATATGCACATAGGGAAAATCAATGACCCCCTGGGGCTGGGCCAATTTTGACCCCAGGGCTTTTATTTGAACAAACTTGGTAGACATCCATTAGAACATGTTTTACGCCAAATATCTAAGCTCTAGCTCTTTGGGTTTTTTAGAAGAAGACTTTTTAAGTTTTTACTATATGCATATAGGGAAAATCAATGACCCCCTGGGGCGGGGCCAATTTTGACCCCAGGGCTTTTATTTGAACAATCTTGGTAGACACTTATTAGAAGATGTTTCATGCTTAATATCTTAGGTCTAGCTCTTTGGGTTCTTTAAAAGAAGATTTTTTAAAGTTTTTACTATATGCATATAGGGAAAATCAATGACCCCCTGGGGCGGGGCCAATTTTGACCCCAGGGATTTTATTTGAACAATCTTGGTAGACACTCACTAGAAGATGTTTCATGCCAAATATCTAAGCTCTAGCTCTTTGGGTTTTCTAGAAGAAGATGTTTAAAGTTTTTTCTTTTGGTTGCCATGGCAACCAGAGTTCTGCATGGAATGGAATTCTTTGAACAACTTTGTTAAGGCTTCACACAAGGAACATCCCTGTGAAGTTTCATTATGATCTGCCTTATGGTTTCAGAGGAGATGTCGTTTGAAAAGTGTGAACGGACAACGTACGACGGACGACGGACGACGTACGACGGACGACGGACGAAGAGTGATCCTAATAGCTCACCCTGAGCATATGCTCAGGTGAGCTAAAAATGAAACATTATATATTCGTAATAGTTCTATGAACTAGTATCAGAAATTTATAAATAACAGAAGCCCACATTATATATCAGTAATATATCTATAGCAGATGCCCACATTATATATCAGTAATATATCTATAGCAGATGCCCACATTATATATCAGTAATAAATCTATAGCAGATGCCCACATTATATATCAGTAATAAATCTATAGCAGATGCCCACATTATATATCAGTAATATATCTATAGCAGATGCCCACATTATATATCAGTAATAAATCTATAGCAGATGCCCACATTATATATCAGTAATATATCTATAGCAGATGCCCACATTATATATCAGTTATAAATCTATAGCAGATGCCCACATTATATATCAGAAATATATCTATAGCAGATGCCCACATTATATATCAGTAATAAATTTATAGCAGATGCCCACATTATATATCAGTAATAAATCTATAGCAGATGCCCACATTATATATCAGTAATATATCTATAGCAGATGCCCACATTATATATCAGTAATATATCTATAGCAGATGCCAACATTATTTAATAGTATCAGAAAATTATATATAGCAGAAGCTTACACTATATATCGTAATATATCTATAACACTCCTTCACATGCCATTCAAAAAATGGTATTCTGTTTATTAAAGTTACATTAACCAAATAACAAGAGCACTTACGCGGTGCAGTGTTAACACTTGTCTGTTACAGTTAATGCCTATCAATAACCAATTTTTACAAATATTCTAAGTAAAGGGATGTAACTCCTAAATGTATATTACTTTCAGAACAATACTCCTTGTCTTTCAACTGCAGCGTGCCATGAAAAGCAAGTATTTCAAATGTCATATTGATACCTTTTTTTAAATATAATCATAAATTTAGGAATTGGTAATAGGGCTGCTGGATTTCTCAGCTGTTGAAAAAAGTCCTGAAACTCTTTCATCTTAACATCAATTTTAAAAGGACTCCATTTTAGGTTCTATGACATGAATTTTTTTGTTTTAAAGTTTTTGTACCTCAGCGCACTTCCTTTAAGTATAAGGCCTACCATTCAGAAAACAGACTATTAAATCTGTGTTTACTTACATCAGCCAATTCTTGCCTATTCTCTAGTACAGAGATTGCCACGGCAACAGATTCTAATGTAGACAATGCGTTGTCTGTCGGCTGGGTTCGTATCACATACTTGCTTTTTCTATCACAATTTATCATCACCTGGTTACAGAAAATACATGTATAAAAAGTGAATAAATAATAAAAAAAATGCCATGATCTCAAAATTTACCATGATCACAACTGTGATTGCTAGTGTCACATGACCAATTATAATTTAGCGTGCTCGGGCAAAAAAAGTCAAATTATTATTTTCCCTGCAGAAAATGAGCACAATGCAAAACTGATCACATAATATCACATCATATTTGACATTATCTAAACAAATTAGCTGATCTGATCAGTTTAAGTTGTTTATTAGTATGGATGCCTTTTTTCATATTACAACAAAAGTGTAACTAGCATAATTAAAACACAGATATTAATTTTAACAAAAAAATGAGACTTCATATTTATGATATATGTCATATACAATCCAAAAACAAACACTGTAACAAAAAATGAAGAACAAGTTTAACTAAGAGTAAAAAAGAATTATAATACAAATAATCATTAATTACTAAGAGTAAAAAAGAATTATAATACAAATAATAATTAAGAACTTAGTTACAAATAAAGGGAAGCAACTTTAAGTCTGAGCTTTATAATGCACAATATTATTGGTTTAATATAAGCTATATTTGAGCGGCGTCATGACAAAACCAACATAATGGGTTTGCGACCGGCATGGATCCAGACCAGCCTGCGCATCCGTGCAGTCTGGTCAGGATCCATGCTGTTCGCGATCAGTTTCTTTACTTGTTATAGGGTCTGTAAGCGAACAGCATGGAACCTGATCAGACTGCGCGGATGCGCAGGTTGGTCTTGATCCATGTTGGTCGCAAACCCATTATGTTGGTTTTGTCGTGACGCGGCTCATTTATATATTCATCATGATTGTTGTTAGTTAGTTTGAGATACATGACCAGATATAAATAGATAGCAGATTATAGCTTGTTTTAGAACAAAATATTATTATTATTTACTATATAAAAGTTCATCCTTAATCGTATTATACATTGTCAACATTTCTTTTTCATTTTAAGGAGCATATTATAAGGATATACAAAAAATATATCAATATTTGAAAAACTTATAGAAAATATGCTCCTTCTCGACCAATCCATTTTACAAACATTAAAACATTTCAGAGACTGTCCAGGAAGTGAAAATCAACTCTGAATGAATAATGTCCCTCAGACTGAAGTCCTTTGGGCAATAATTTATTTAGTGGACTGATTATCACCTTCATGCACTACTCTGACATAGTATTAACCATTTATTATTGAAGTATGTTATCATTGCACAAATCTTTCAGTATACCTTTTTTGGCACCTTGAGAAGTTTATTATTTGCATACATTCCCCTAGCTTGTGTCCACGTCCCGTCAAGGACTACTAGATTGTAGGGCCCACCATGGGCTGGTAAATCTGCTATATCAACAGCATCATCGCCTGGGAACAGTAAAACTGTTTTAGGAGATTCCAATATATCTGTGAGATCTGGGTACTTGATATTCCTGTGAATCATAGATTTAAATTCATGCTTTTACACTACATAAAAATCTATTAAGAAATGACTTCATTAACCAATAACTTGTTAAATCAATTTCACTGACTTATCCAGCTTCTATTTTTGGAACGCTCTATTACCAATTTTCATAATATCAGCCAATAGCATATAATTATAGAGACTGGTTAGACTGCACAGATCTGCATACTGACCTGGCTCAATACAAGTTGCATAGCCAATTCAGTCGAAATGTAAGACAATTTAATGGTAATTATGTAACCGTTTACTAATCGTGGATATGACCATGGAATTTCATAAGTTCAAAATTCCATTTAAAGTCCGTGCCAGAATTATGTATCTTAGAAAGCTATCTTCAATTATAAATCTGAAGGCAGTCAACAAGCTAAACATAACTAGAACTGCCACTATCATGGCGTGAATACCCCCCGCATACCACTTTGTAAGAATCAACAGTGGCCATTTAGAGCTCAAGGACAACCTCCCTGCCAAATCTGAGGTTACTACAAGCCATTGCATTGCTAAGTTATGTATTCTACATGCTTCAAATGTGAAAATGTCAAAATCAATACATTGCGGACATTCTTTAGCAATTGAGAAGAAAAGCTTTTTTTTGTGTCAAGGTCCCTGTGATCTTTATCTTTTACCCAGTGACCTCAAAATCAATAGGGGTCACCTTATAGTCATGATCAACATCCATGCCAAATATGAAGACTGTGGGTCAAAAGGAATCTTTAGTTAATGGGTGAACAAACTTTTTGAAGTCAAAGTCCCTATGACCTTGACCTTTAATACAGTGACCTCAAAATCAAAAGGGGTCATCTACTAATCATGATCAACATCCATGCCAAATATGAAGACTGTGGGTCAAAGGAATCTAAAGTTATTGGGCAGATAAACTTTTTGAAGTCAAAGTCCCTGTCACCTTGACCTTTGACCTTAAAATCAATAGGGGTCATCTACTAATCATGACTAACCTCCATTCCAAATATGAAGACTGTGGGTCAAAGGAATCTTAAGTTATTGGGCGGACAAGCTTTTTGAAGTCAAGGCCCCTGTGACCTTGACCTTTGACCTGGTGACCTCAAAATCAATAGGGGTCATCTACTTATCATGACTAACCTCCATGCCAAATATGAAGACTGTGGGTCAAAGGAATCTTAAGTTATTGGGCAGACAACCTTTTTGAGGTCAAGGCCCCTGTGACCTTGACCTTTGACCTGGTGACCTCAAATACAATAGGGGTCATCTACTAATCATGATTAATCTCCATGCCAAATATGAAGACTAAGGGTCAGAGGAATCTTAAGTTATTGGGCGGACAAGCTTTTTGAAGTCAAGGCCCCTGTGACCTTGACCTTTGACCTGGTGACTTCAAAATCAATAGGGGTCATCTATTAATCATGACTAACATTCATGCCAAATATGACGACTGTAGGTCAAAGGAATCTTAAGTTATTGGGCGGACAAGCTTTTTGAAGTCAAGGCCCCTGTGACCTTGACCTTTGACCTCAAAATCAATAGGGGTCATACATTAAGGTAGACCATGAGTAATGCATTACCTCCACTTTGAAGAGTATTCAAATAAGCTAGAATCGCTTGTAAACTACATTTAAATTGAGGGGCGTGGGTTCAAACCCCAGAAGGGGCAACTTTTTTTTTCTTTCTTTTTTTCTTTTTAACATTTTTTATGTATCTCTCTGATCCCTTATGGAAGAAAAAAAGTTTGATTTTAATTATATTATTATTTTAGGTATTTTTTTGGTTAAATAATGCCAAAATTTATAACAAATATGATACCAGATATTTTCAAAGTTCGATAAAATAAAAACTACACGGTAAAAGTATTTTATAATTCGCATGATCAACTAATATACCTTTGAAAAAATTTAGGCAAAGTTTGAAAACAGACCCTCATTTCGATAAATTTTAGGGATATTTTGAATAAGGCATTTTAAATAGGGAAATGGTAAAATTAGTGTTAAAAGTGGGTGGGGTAGGGTTACATTTTTATACATTTTAAGAACATTTTGTTTAGAACCAAACATTTTGGTTGTGTAATGTGTTACTTGAATGTTATTATTTGTTTCTTCACAATGAGCAATAGAAAAACATTTTTTTATAATGATGATATTACAGGTTATTTACAGTTTCCTCATTTCTGAAAATAAGGCCTTCAAATTGCAAGGTCTTAGTTAGGTCTCAGAAATATATCCAAAACTCATAAACCACACGGTAAATTTTATCTAAATTTTGCATACAGGTGACCTTGAAGACATATAACTGTCCTATGTTGTCAATTTTACAGTTCTTTATGGTGCCCATTACCCATGGTCTACCTTAATCATGACTAACATCCATGCCAAATATGAAGACTGTAGGTCAAAGGAATCTTAAGTTATTGGGCGGACAAGCTTTTTGAAGTCAAGGCCCCTGTGACCTTGACCTTTGACCTAGTGACCACAAAATCAATAGGGGTCATCTACTTATCATGACTAACCTCCACGCTAAATATGAAGACTAAGGGTCAGAGGAAACTTAAGTTATTGGGCGGACAAGAAAAAACCGACGGATGGACGGACAAGCTGATTCCAGTATACCCCCCTTACAACTTTGTTGTGCGGGGGTATAATTATTTTGAATTTTCAACTCTGAAAATATAGCATTAAATAATTTTATAATTTACAAATTGTTTTTGGATACAAAAGATATCTGAAAAGAAGAACATACTTTCTACTGAATCTTTTTCCTCTGATAATATTACATTTTCCTTCCTCTAGACTCTGTTTCAACATGGGCGCAGTCTTAAGCTTTCTTAATTCCTGAAAAATGTGTAAAAAAAATTTTAAGTGCACTTTATACTGTCACTATAAAGCATTTCTAATGAATAAATTCTTTGAAAAGACAACTTATATAATAGAAATAGCTGCTTTCAAAGAACCTTTCCCCGTTACTTAATTCCAGGGCTAACAATCACTTTTTTGACCATTTAAAAACCTAAGCTAATGTCATTTAAAAAGGTTTCAGCTCTTTAGCATTGAGATTTAAAGAGTTCTAAATAATACTGGTATGTTTATTTTTGTTTGTTTGTTTAACTGGGTTTTTCATCAGACTGACACATTATAGGTCACATGGCGACATTCCAGCTTTACTAGTAGAGGAAAACCTCAGGTGCTCTTCCAAGCATTATTTCAGGCACCTGAGTAGAACCACCTCCATTCTGTAAGCTTAAGCTGGATAGCTTCCTCACATGAAAAAATCCAAAGTCCCTGTCATGATTCTAACACACAGCCATGAGGGGGAAAGTGGTTTGAAGTCAACATCCATAACCACTCTTCCACAGACGCCCACAATACTGGTATAATTATCATATAAAGAAAAAACATTTTATATAAACAAGCATTAAATTTCTGTTTTGAGCAATTGTCTTCGCAATGAACTCAGAAAAAGGCATAGCTAAATTTTTCACTGATAAAAACTGTAAAGGTCCAATCTCAAGGAAGGTTTACAATCTTTTCATTCTGAAAACATGTATTGAAAGTTTCACAAAAGTTTTTCTATAGAACAGAAACAATGATATGACTTGTATGTTTTGTACACAATAATACATAAAATACAATGTTTTGACCCTATAATAGTGCATTAGACAGGAGCTGGTAGTCAAGGGGCAGGACGTGAAGTGGTTGCACACTTGGTTCAAGCGAGCGAATTGGTTGCAAACTTGACAAAATGGCAAACACGGCGTGATTTTTTGAAACGGGTGAACGATTTTTTGCCAGGCAAGTGGGTTTCTTTGTTATTTTGAAGTTCATTAGTATGTCTATTCCATAATGCAATATATATGCCACACTCGGTGAAAGGTTTCGGCATCCTAGATTCTGTTTTGACGAAGTTATTGAAGATATAAACTGATCATGTAGATATTTTGAAATTTGACATGTGACTGTTCTGGTCTGTTTTTCTCCTAATTTATTCGAATTTGTAAGTTCTGAATTGCATTTAACAATAATAAAATATGTTTCTGTTAATGCTGTACAAATGGTTTAGTTCGCAAATCCGAAGATAACATTCAATACACAAAAATATCTTGTTCAAGCACATTTTGGTTGCAGACTTATACTTCAAGCATTTTTGGTTGCAAACTTTTGTGTCAATAATGTGGCATGCATATTTTTAGCAAGAAATAACTTATCTTTTTGTTTAAATAATTAGCAATATTAAGGCAATTATACCCGTTCATCTAATAAGAAATATATATATACAAATTGTGCATGCGTGCAGATATATCCTAACACAGGGTCTTTCAAATAGATATAAAACACAATATGCTAAATTGAAGTTCAGTTGTGTTTATCTTCATCATTTTTTCTCCTCGATATACTTCTTTTCTTTTCACAAAGTCTTAGGACTTTATTTATATCTTGGCATGACTAACTATAAAGGAAAAGAAGAGAAAAATAGCAACAAACAGCTTTCATCATTGTTCTTTTTTTGAGATTTGAAATAAATTTGATTGTATAGTAGATACAAACTATATTAACATTGACACAAGGGCATTATTCACATGTTTCTTTAAATTGTTCCTTATTATTGACCAATCGAGACATCTTCCAAATTCCCTAACTCGAACAATGACTTTAAGTAGTTTTGTCACATATCAGTCAATGCAAATTACCAATCGTATATCAGTTATATTATGATCTAATAGTCAAAATAATTTTTAGAATACCAAACGACATAATTATGATATGTACATCAAATCCGAAATATTGTAAACAAGCAAGTCATTTTAACTTTTGGTTTATTAAGTACATTTACATACTTTATTTCTAAAGCAACTGCTGATCTTTACATACGAAACCAACAAAATAACATTTATTGTGGTTTTGATAAACTTTGGAAATTTTGCCGAGTAACATCGTATGTGTGCACATGTCCTTATGTTTATAATGAAAATAATTCACTTACATACAGCAGTACTCTCACATACGGTTTTTTGTATGTAGTTTTCATTTGCATTTTACATACGATGACATATTTTAGAATTGAAGTATCAATAAATATTTTCCTTCTATGTGCTATTATTTTGTTTGCAGGCTTTTACTGATGATTATAGTATTGAACTGAGAACCATGTAATTTGAAACATAAAGTGCATACTTGTTGTAAAAGAAGAAAGTATAAATAATATTTATAGAAAAACAAGTAAAAGAACATAAATGTCAATAATTGCCATTGAAAATAGGTTAATAAATAAAAACTACTACAATCCTTTTGCAAAGTTTTACTATGGATTTCAAAAGAATAAGAATAAGTTTGCAACCAAAAATGCTTGAAGTATAAGTCTGCAACCAAAATGTGCTTGAACAAGATATTTTTGTGTATTGAACGTTATCTTCGGACTTGCGAACTAAACCATTTGTACAGCATTGACAGAAACATATTTTGTTATTGTTAAATGCAGTTCAAAACTTACAACTTCGAATAAATTAGGAGAAAAACAGACCAGAACAGTCACATGTCAAATTTCAAAATATCTACATGATCAGTTTATATCTTCAATAACTTCGGCAAAACAGAATCTAGGATGCTGAAACCTTAAACCGAGTGTGTATATATATTGCATTATGGAATAGACATACTATGAACTTCAAAATAACAAAGAAACCCACTTGCCTGGCAAAAATTCGTTCACCCGTTTCAAAAAAATCACGCCGTGTTTGCCATTTTGTCAAGTTTGCAACCAATTCGCTCGCTTGAACCAAGTGTACAACCACTTCACGTCCTGCCCCTTGGTAGTGCTGCTGGTAATGTATCAGTCAAAATTTAAAACCACCCATTTCAGTGCCAGGGCTTTAATAACAAAGAACCAGTACTAACCTCAAAGGGGTGTTGTAGAATAAAAACACTTGTAGATATTTCTATTCTCTCAGCTGGTAGAAATGGACACCAGCAAACTGTTTCTGGTCGACTGAAATATATATAAAATATTTTTTTTAATATATTTAAGTTTAAGAAATTACTTCAAAATGTTATACAGTGTATTAAATTTAAAGTGACATTTTGCTCATTTTTTTCATTGACATGTTCAGCTAATTGACTATGTATTTCAAAAGATTGAATGTTATAATGGTGATTGACCAACAAATGAAATTGGAAAATAATAACGATAAAATATAAATCTGCCTAAGATATAAAAAAGACTGCCACACTTTTGATAATTTTAACGTAAACACGGTAAATTCTGATGGATTATTTACAGAAATTTCAAAGGGCCACTTGAATTATTTATCATTCCAATGCTATGGAAATGAATGACAAAGTTTCATTCCTATTAAATAGAAGAAAGTAGTAGTCAATTATGATATACAACTGATTTTGCACCACTAGCTTTGACTCTGAGAAAAATATAGAACAAACTTTCACTTAACCTTAGTACAATGTATATGAATGGATAACAACGGAACAAAGATTTCACACTTAAATTCAGGATGAAGACTGTACATGTGTTTCAATTAAAAGCATTCACATTATGTAATTTGTTACAATCTTTTTTGAACTGCATGGTAACCAATTAAATGTTCATTACAAATATCCGATCCTGTAAACCCAATTACTTTATTTCATGTGACTTGGGACATAGGCAGGGTATTCCAATAATAGAACAATCACACTCAGAGATTGAAAATTCTTTTCAGAGCCACTTGTCCTGCATTCTCAGTTGGGCACCAACTTTTTCAGTGAAAGATAAAAGGCAGGGTATTCAGATAACGTACATGTAACATTATCGCCATGCATGCCATAATTTTTAGACTAATTTCCGGGACACTTTTCATTTGGAGGTGGGGCATTGATCAGCAAGCGTGTTTTTTTTAATTTACATAGTGGCATACAACCGGTATTTACAAATTTAATGACACCATAAACAAAAGACAGAATGTCATTCATTATTAACAGTTTTTCTGTCTTTTTTAAGTATTAAGGCATGGTTAATTCAATCAGTCACAGAATAGAATTAAGCTTTGTTAAGTAATGACAATTAGCCATGTCGTTTACCAGAAACATTCGCTGAATCTTGTAGATTTCATCACCTCATATTTAGCGGTAATTTTCACAGTGATTGAGCACTAATAACTGTCTCCAGGCGGATTAAATTTATACTGGTCAGTTGTTAATTACAGTGTATGAGTCGACCCCAACTCAGGAAACCACAGGGGGAAAACATTTAATCTTTTAATTGATCAAAATTATTGCCGATAATTGTTTGTTGGAAGGGGCATATAGATATACCAATCAAAGGATTAGTGTCACCATTGCAATGCTGTTAGGGGATAATCGTTTGTTATTAGCGTTCTAGGCTAGTTTATAAAAACTTGACAAAATGATTATATAAACATGTTCAAAGGAGATTATTTTAGATTTTTTTTACCAGGACATAAATCATCTCCGGGACACCTCCGGGACAGACACCTTATTTCCGAGACTGTCCCAGACATCCGGGACATTATGGCATGACTATGTTATCGCAACTTTTCGGATTAATAATAATCATGGAGAGTTGAGTGTGTGAAAACCGGCATTCTCCTGGATTAGACCCCTATGTATTTTTCGACGTCAAACATGTATATAATACACTAAAGATATAAGGATATAGCCTGAAAACGGAAGCAGTGCATGAAATATGAATTTACAACTTTAAATGGAAAAAAAATGATTCCTTCACCCGACTGCCCAGTTCATAGGCTTTGCCTAATTTCATATTAGGCAAATGTGTATAAAGGGGCTTATAAAGTTTTGGAAATTAGAATCCGAAATTTTGGGTAAATTAAGGTAAAAAAATATTTTAATGTTTTGAGGTTGAAATAAACCGTAATTGCCATTATGTACATGATTTGAGACCTAGTTACAGAGTATTTTTATTATCTTTTTTTTCAGTTTTGGGTATTTATGATGTCGCGAATACATATGACAAATAAAATTTACCCGCATCGGTGACATTCCTTACGTCTATACCTCACAGGTTCTTTTTCAGTATTTGCAAAGCAATAGAGTTCATTGAGAAAGTCTTCTTCATTGTCTATACTTTCCATAAATTTCACTCGAATGAAAAATAAAGTAACGTAGACAATGCTTTAAGCGACCGGACTTTAAGATCGCTTAAGACGTAAACGAAAAATGAAATTTTCTGAAAACTGAAATTACCAAAACAGACCAAGATCTATTTTGAAGATAGATATTTCTTAGTGAGTGGTAAATTTGACATTCCATTACACTTCTGGAAAAAGATATTAATAGAATTTCATTATATCTGTCATTTTTACAAGGAATGAATTGAATGTTAGGGGAATTTTAAGTGTTTTTACAGTGGGACTGTTGAATGATTAATCATTTTACGATTAGACTACTTTATTGGTATTTTTTGTTTGCTCAGTTCTTTGTTGTTGTTTTTTTATCAAACAACAAAGGTTCTGCAAATAAGTGTATTTAATGCAGTTGCAGCTCAGCCAGTTCATCGATATCCCTTATTTTCTGTTTTGATTATTTCAACTGTTCGACAAGGGGGATTTCAAGAAGAGGTGTCACGTTTATCCACCCAAATAGAAATAGGACATTAGGCAAAGCGCTGACAAGGCGATAACTTTAATAGGAAGTAATAGAAACCAATTTGGGAATTAAAGAAGACAAATTAATTAATAGGTCTACAAACGTAAAGGGATGTAGGGGAAGGGTCGGACACTCAAGGGTTGAGGAAGTTGGGGTTAGCAAATTTAAATTAATAAAACAAAACCAGGGCAACTGGAAGATACTTACGTAGATGAGAAAACAACAAGAAAGGACATAAAAGTTTCCCTATAAAAGTATGAAACAACAAACAAGAATAAGGGCTTACCAAAAAAAATTAATCCATAATAATCAATTTGTGTAGTATAAAATATGAACAAAATAAATATGAATAAAACGTCATATCTTGTCATCATGTTGAAAATCTAAGATTTTTATTAGTATGGTCGGATTATGAATGTTTAACATGGTTTTTAGGTCGCCTTTAAACAGTTATCATTTTTGCTGACCTTGACCCCCTAATTTCAAGTCAACTTGTTATTCTCATCTTGAGGTCAGCCTGCCACCTTTTAATCAAGTTGTCCTGCAGTCTGCTTGTCCCTTCAAGTCAAATGGGTTCAATTTCTCATCACTTATTATCTTTCGTTTAAAATAGTTGATACAAAGTTTCTTAATTTAAATTGTCTAATATATTATAAATAATTGTATAATAATAACTTGCCATTCTGAATATCTAAAACTGTACAAAAGAGATTTGAAATTCCTTAAATTGATAATTCTGGTTTATGTCTTGTAGGCTATATAACGGGCATATAAGTGAGAAAACAAGTGTTTCTTAGTATTTATCATTATAATTTGATTAATTTATCTATTTTATTGTTTATTATTATGTCTGATTGGATTATATCATACAATTTATACTTAATTTATATTTAAAGTATAAAGTAGCAGTATACAGAATTGACTTTCAAATTAAAAATAAAAGAAATAAAAAACTGAAAGTGAAACTTGAGAAAAGATTTAGCAAAATTAGATATGTTTAATTTTTTTTAATAGTTATTAGACATAATTTGAATAGTATCTTTTTTTGTTTTTCTGTAATTCATTGCTACAATTTTAACAATATGGCACATTTGTTTATATTTATTTTTATTGCTTTTTGTTCAATCACCTTAATTATCAGTTACAAGTGTTACTTAAACTCTGTTGAATGCAAATATGTGTAGAACTTACTGTTTTTTTAAAAAATAATGTTGTGTGTATGAACAAGAAATTAAAATCGAGTTTGATACATGTATTAATAACCAATAAGTGACCTTTTTTGTTGTAGAATATGATTTCCTGATGCAGACTGTAATGGATACAGTGATGAAGATCTTATATAAACGAAGTGGTAGCACGACTGGCAGTGCAGGTGGTGATTACAGACGCAGTACTAGTGCTGGTAGTGATGGGGACTCTTCAGGTGTGTTGAGTGGAACCACAATCAACATGTCCAACTCCTCAACTATTACCAATGGTTCATGTAACAGGTTGATCAACACCGGTGACACTGTGGAGATCATTAATAGTGCAGCGCCTATATTAGGAGAGGTTAAAGTTCAAATCTACAATGACACCATTGATGATTCTTCTGTTTCTTTTAGTTGTTATGACACTTGTGAAGACATTTGCCTATCTCTTGCCAAAAGACTAGGTATCACACCAACAATGTTAAATTGCTTTGGTCTGGGTATTCTGGATGTGACACTAAAGAAGCATTACTGGATTGCTCCGAAGCAGAAACCTAGTGATATCTGTTACAATATGATGCAAACTCAAGAATATAAAGTGTTCTTTAGAATGAGGTTTTTTCCAGAACAATCCAAATGCAGACAGCTCGATGAGGTGGATCCTAGATGCCTAGAATACCTGACTTGGCAAGTGAAGTGGGACTTTCTTCATAGTATTTCATCATGTAATTGGGAAGAGTCTAAAACAGATGAAGCAAGGGGCTTTAGTTGCATGCTTATCCTGTTGGCACTTCGTTTACACTCTGAAAAAGAAAATTGTACTGAAAATTTGAAAAATTACATGAAGAAAAGAGACCTAGACAACTTCTTACCTGTGCCTTTGAGGAAGAAATTGGTTGAGGGAAAAGTTCTTAAAAACAACATGTTGAAGAAAGTTGAAGAACTTCAAAGAACACATCCTGTGGAACATTGTGACTCGTATTATATCATGAAATGGTGCCTGCAGGTTGCTATGAAACAAAACAAGTCCTATAAAACAGAAACATTTGTGGCATATGACCTTGATATTGATAATGAAGAATTTGAGCCTATAGATGGGGACGAACCACCATCACAAATTGCAGAGAAACAGGAGTTAATGATCACTATTAGGATAGACAAGTCCAAGCCAACATTGACAGTGATGGAGATGAATGAGAGACGTGTAAGTATAACAGGGAGGTGGAATAAATTCTAGTAAATTCGAAATCCGTCTTATTACCTCAGATACAGTTAGTATATTTATGGAACTGCACAAAGTTAAGTTATTTTGTTTCATGTTTCAGTAAACGATAAGCTTGACATAATAATTGTTCCAAAATAAATAAAACAACAATTTAAACTCTAGATTGTTGAATCAGTTGATTTCACTATTGTCTACAGACATTGCTTAACACTGTAATATTAGATTTTAAAACTTAAGTTATAATAAGATAGCTACAAAAGTCTGGCCATGTAAATGTAAATAGTAAGAAGCTAATTCTTAATTTAGATAGGCAGATTTCTGTTAAAAGAGTAGAAAAAATCCTAATTTTATGATGGGTTTCGACTAATTTTAATCATGGCATGTTTTGATAATTTCAGATGCATACAATTGATTGTTATGTTGAAAATGTTTCCAAGCTGGAAATTTGTCCCACTGATCTTGATGGAGTAACCTGGTGGAGGGTACATATATTCAGGCAAGATGGTCACCCTGAGGTAAAAATATATTTGTTTCTTTTGTATACTTGCTTAAGTTCTGGCATGATATCATAGTAATTATGAAATGAAAACTCAATGTTCATGTTCTAGACTTGGTAGTGAAAATATTGCGTATCTTATGACTTCTTAATCTCAACAAATTAACAATGTCAACGATGCTTATGGTAACTTGATAAACAGTCATTTACTAGAAGACTAGAAATTAATGTAGGTTTTGTATATTTGATTTAATTGACAAACATAGCAACCTTTTCCTCCAGTATAGGAGCAATAGATCACTGCTGTCTGAACTACACTCTATTTTTTACTCACACGTCCATAAACTTATTGAACTCCATAATACTTATTTCTAACATTTTGCATTTCAATACTGAACAAGTGTGTCACACTTGTGTTGGTTTTAAGCTGCAGTATATCTTGTAGCAGCTTCAGTGACTAAGTCTTAACTCATGCCACCTGAGTGCAGACCATGATCAGCCGGAACATATCTGCCATCAGCTTATAGTTTTGAGATTATCCCTAAATTGATAATTTTTGTTTTGTTCAGATTATAAGACAAGCAAGACCATTACAGATATTTAGCATGTTAAGGGTAAATGTATAATATTCATGTATATATAAGTTATCATTTTTGTTTTAGATGTTGTATTTTGATGATAGTAAGGAAGCCTATTCCTTTGCAACGTGTGTAGAGTGTTACAACCGTCTAACTGTTGACTATTATGACACTGTGTGTACAGAACTGGTACCATCACTATTTAATGAGCTCAATACATTGCGAGCACATGGACCTGTGAGGTAGGGAGAATGGAAACGATGATTATCTGTTTCTTTCTAAGAGAAAAAATGGTTTATGTCATTTGAAGACATTCACTTTATATAAATAATAGCTTTTATAAAAAGAATGGCATATTATAAAAATAACATGTCTCTCAGGGTGATAGTGCATATTAGCAACACGGGAACTGAAATCCACCTGGTGAGTTGCTTCAGTTCAAGGGTTGCTAATTAAGAAAAAGTATATCCCAAACTGTGATTATATCCCTCAATAAAATCACTGTTTGGACTTCGGATGCGAGGAATTATATCAGGAAGGCGTAGCCTGTATATAATGCCTGAACGTGATATAATGATATTTTTATTTCGCACCGTCAAAAAATGAACGATATTAAGAAATTGTGCCTGATTTATTTTCGCACTTATTTTCAGCGTGTCATATTTTTAGTGGTTACATCATGTGTATTAAGATTATGTCACATGTCTAAATATAGAACGTCAAACAGTGATTTTATTGCATAATAACACACTTTCGGTTCTTCAGTGTTCAAAAGGGTAAAATGCGGGTCTTGTTAGAATATGCTCTGTTACCCTGAGAGACATGCATTATTTTTTTTATTATACCAAAGCAACATTTTTAGCTCGACTTTTCTATGAAAAGGGGAGCTATCCTACTCGCCCCGGCGTCGGCGTCGGCGTCGGCGTTGGCGTCACACCTTGGTTAAGTTTTTCGTACCACCCCACTTTATTTCAGAAGTATTACAAGTATGGCTTTGAAACTTACCATACTTGTTCACCATCATAACCTCCATCTACAGACAAGAGTACATAACTCTGTCAAGGTTTTTGACAGAATTATGGCCCTTTTTTGACTTAGAAAGTGTATTGAGCTTGGTTAAGTTTTTTGTACCACCTCACTTTATTTCAAAACCATTGGAGGTATTGCTTTGAAACTGACCATACTTGTTTACCATCACGACCTTCATCAACAGACAAGAGGACATAACTCTGTCAAGGTTTTTGACAGAATTATGCCCCTTTTTGACTTAGAAAATACATTGAATATGGGTAAAATCCACTTATTGCCTTAACCCTTTGAGATATTGCTTTGAAACTTTTAATGCTATTTCACATCATTACCCCCATCTGTACGCAAGAGAAGGTAACTCTGTCAAGGATTTGTTTTAAAAATTAAGGCCTTTTATCGACTTAGAATCTTGGTTAAGTTTTTAGTACCAGTCCACTTTTTGACTGAACTGTTTGAGATATTAATTTGAAAGTTGGAATACTTGTTTACAATCATGATTCCCAAACATGTCCAGGAGAAGGTAATTCTGTCAAAGATTTTATTTGAATTATGGCCCTTAACTGTCAATGTTTTGTATTATAGGCAAGCACTAAAAAAGTCGAGCGCGCTGTCTTACGGACAGCTCTTGTATTGTAATTTTTCACCACTATCCATTATTACTCATCATTTTTATCAGGGGAGAGAACTAAAACATCAGGTTTTCTTAAGTCTATATAGATAACTCGCCCCTGGGGAAATTGCAAAAGTTATTGAATGGGTGATATTCATTTCCAGGATGAGAGATCGAAATAACACCATGTGATGTCACATTAGGACATAAAGTAAAAAGTTAACGTGAGGTATTTTATGTTTTCCAGGGATGAGTTTGTGAAGAAAAAATTGCTGAAGAAGAACAGTAAAGACCTGTATATACTGCGATTAAATCTCAAATATTATGACCAGTATGATGTTCTTTACCTACCCAGTATCACCATTAATACTAAACTGAAGAAAGTTACTTTACCTAAGGTATGTGAGCTGTTTAATTATTTTATGATCACAAGATTTACATGCCAGTACTACTTAAGACAGAAGTACTGATTTATTGTCAACAAAGCAGGCTAAAAATTGGAAGTATAGACCTGTGTGATTATTAGTGCAGACATAGTACCAGAGAACTCAATTTGGGTTGATGCTGCTAAATGTAAAAGTTAAACTTGAGGAATATTATATAAAACTTCATTCTCCTTAAGAGAACTATATTTCATGACTGTGTTATTATGTGTTCCATGTACAATATTATTCTATGCTACATTTGTAGTTTGTAATGGTAACAAATATTCTGAAACTCCCCATATTACAATCTTTGACTGCTGGCAACAAACATTAATTAAATGGTGTTTGATTTTTTTTCAGATGTTTGAATGGTGTTTGATTTTTGACACGTTTGTATATGGTGTTTTTTTTCCATATATTTGTATGATGTTTTTTCTTTCACATATTTGTATGATGTTTTTTCTTTCACATATTTGTATGATGTTTTTTTCTTTCACATATTTTTATGGTGTTTTTTCGTTCACATATTTATAATTATGTTTGCAGATAGTACGTGTAGAAGATGGATATACTGTAGACGGTTCCGGGAGGCAACCACAGGATATAAAATTTCTGATGAATGACCTGGTTAGGGAAGCTAACCTGTTTCCTTCAACTTGTTTGAGGATCAAACCACAGTCAGAGGGTTTGTTTTCATCTGTTATATCTAATAATGACTAGTTCAATTATTGGAAAGAAAACAGGGATTTAGGGTTTTGTTTCAGCACCTTGGAAACATGACTCAGTTTTCAGTGTTTTATACATATTGGGGAAAAAAAAGACAACATAATGTATATATCCAATAAGACAGAGATATTAGTAAACATTTTCTGTATTTCACTCTTAAACACATAATACAATTTGAAAAGCAAGTTTTTGTGTCCCACGTTAGTGGCGGGCATTTAGATTTACCCTTGTCTGTCTGTCTGTCCGTTCACTTTTGTGTCGCACATAACTCAAAAAGTATTTGACCTAAAGTCATGAAACTTTACAGCAATGTTGAGCAGCATGTGTAGTTGTGCACCTGGATATTTTCGTCTGGATATTTTTAGTATTTTTCAGAGTTATTGCCCTTGACTTAGTAAAATTTTGCAATTTTCAACTTGTGTTGCATGTAACTCAAAAAGTATTTGACCTAGAGTCATGAAATTTTACAGGAATGCTGATCAGCATGTGTTGTTGTGCACCTGGGTATTTTCGTCTTGATATTATTTTTATTGCCCTTGACTTAGTAAAATTTTGCAATTTTCAACTTGTGTCACATGTAACGCAAAAAGTATTTGACCTAGAGTCATGAAACTTTACAGGAATGCTGATCAGCATGTGTTGTTGTGCACCTGGGTATTTTTGTCTGGATATTATTAGTATTTTCAGAGTTATTGCCCTTGACTTAGAAAAATTTTGCAATTTTCAACTTGTGTCGCATGTTTCTCAAAAAGTATTTGACCTAGAGTCATGAAACTTTACAGGAATGTTGATCAGCATGTGTAGTTGTGCATCTGGGTATTTTCATCTGGATACTTTTAGTATTTTCAGAGTTATTGCCCTTGACTTAGTAAAATTTTGCAATTCTTAACTCATAAAGTATTTGATCTAGAGTCGTGTAACTTTACAGGAATATTGATCAGCATGTATTCTCATCTGGAATTATTTAGTATTTTTAAAGTAATTGCCCTTCACTTAGAAAATTTTTGCAATTTTCAAATTGTGTCGCAAGTTACTCAAAAAGGATTTGATATAGTCATTAAACCTTATGGGCAGGTTGCTCAGCATATTTAGATTTGCACCTGGGGTTTGGCTTGTGGATTTATCCAGTATTTGTAATTTCCCTTGACTTAGTAAAAAGATTGACAGAACAATGGTGCGGTGGGGGCACCCGTGTCCTATGGACACATTTCTAGTTTCAATTTATTTTCTAAATTTTGGGAATCTTGCAGGGTGTGATTTATTGCACAGTTTTATATTGGGCAAGGAACCAGTTGATGTACATGATGAAGATGAGGAGAAAAGAGAGAAAAGAAAAATTGAGAACCAGCCTAAAGTATATAACAGGAATGATTTGAAGTTACAGTCAATGCTAGGTATAATTCTTTGGGTTCTTATTTTTTAAAGGCACATTATGCCTCAGAAATGAATTCATTTTTCCTTTCTTAGAAAGAGAAAATATGAGTTTTATTGCATTTAAATTAGGGATGGCAATGAATACCAAAATCAATACTCGAGTACTCGGTCATTTTTCCGATCCAGTACTCGGACGATTTTCAATGATCTTCAAAGTTTATCACACAATATCAACAACGTCCGCATGCTACTTTTGTTTTCTATTTACATTCATAGAATTTGTAACTATAGATAGGACTGCAAAGGAGACAAATTAATTAAAATTAAATCAACAACATTATATTTTAGAAATATTTATTAATGCAATATCAAGTTTAAAACATGTTTTACAGTTGAAACATCTTTTTCTTCTTGCAATAAAATAGACTAATCGGCGGCAACAAAAGTTTTCCCGGGTCTAAATACTACCTTAATTATCATATCATAATAGCAATACAGCCCTTTGTTGTTTTAAAGAATGTTACCTTAAAACAAGATTCGGGTACTGTTTTACACAATTAAAGGTTACTAAATATCATAAGAGGCCGGTTGACGTAAGCGACACGTGTGCGTGTCAAACTGTTGATCACCTCATTGAATTTATGGTATCATTTTCGCACCTCTGCAAGAAAGTTGTGATTGCATTTAACAGATATTTATGAAGGTATATGCACATCTCCGAATTTCTGAACTAATTGGATACATTTACTAAATTTAATGTCTAAATAGCAAATAAAATAAAAATTATACATTTTTTCTGAGTAATCGAATATCAGTTTTGTTAACCGATATTCGGACGTTTGATCGAGTACTCGGTTAACAGGTTACTCGTTGCCATCCCTAATTTAAATACATGACATTGTAATGGTTAGCAACATGAAAAATGTTTTACATCTGAAGACAGAAGTACTTAATTTGAAATTATTTGTCATAAAAATAGCAAAGAGTAGTATTTTGTCTTCATACATTATATTAAATTACTTTAACTATGCTAATTGCCCAAAAAGGACTGGAGCAAAAGATAGTTCAGCCAGTTAGCTAACAGAGAGAATTGCAAGAATCTTTAAGCTTTCAGTTCAATCATCTTTAAATTATTGTATAAATTTTCTGTATTCATGTAGTATTGTAATTTGATGAAAATTAAAGATGTTTAATCAAATTGGCCAATGAGTAACATTTTGGCAACTAATAACAGACACCAAATATAAAAGCTTTTGAGAACCAAAAATAAATGAATTTCAGAAACAAAATGGGTCATTTAAACTTGTAAATAGTATACAAAAATTTGAATATTGAACAAAGAATATTTGATACAGCACATCTTATAGAGTTATGTAATGGTAAAATGGATAAAATAAAAATACTAGAAAATGCTGATAAATGATATGCCATATAATTCATTGATATTTGGAGAACATATTACAGAGGTTTACAGGAATGTGTTTTTAACAGTTTTAGTTCAGGTACTTTTTAAAAAAGTTAATAATTATTTGTCTAATGGTTTACAAATTACAATAATTACTTAAAACTATTATAGTGGTATGTTGTGGTGGGATTTTAGTTCAAGAAACACCAAATTAGTTTCTATATTTATTCAGGTACTAGAAAAACTTATAACAATTGGGGCCTCCGTGGCCGAGTGGTTAAGGTCGCTGACTTGAGATCACGGGTCCCTCAATGCTGTAGGTTCGAACCTCACTTGGGTTGAAATCTTTCATGTGAGTTAGCCATCCAGCTGGCTTATGGAAGGTCGGTGGTTCTACCCAGGTGCCCGCTTGTGCCTGAAATAATGCCCAGAGGGGCACCTGGGGTCTTCCTCCACCAATAAAGCTGGAAAAAAATCGATGAAAAATTTGGCGGGACCCTCTAGGATGACCCCACTTGAGTATACGGTCGCCCATATGGGCTTTCCGGCGGCAACCTTAAATAAACACATTAAAAAAAAACAAAAAAAAGCTGATAACAAATAAAAAAAGGGAATGAGACAAATTAGAAGGAGAAATATTTTACAATAGAAAATTCATAAATTACATATTTCATATAACACTGTATTACAATATTTACAAAACATTCATTATATATAATTTAGCATTTCACTATTAGATGTAAAATAAACATGCAAACCAGGTATAATGTAGAATTAACTTCAGTTATAAAATAAATCTATCATTCAGTTTGAGTTACTATGAAATGTTAAAGCTATCCCAGAACCAAATCAGCTGAAAATAACCTTCATACATGAACAATCACCCATCACTGAACTTGAAGAAATAGTAGAACCACCTGTAACAAAAGGCCAGTAGACAAACATGAACACCTAACACCATAATAGATTTGGTCTTGCCTTTATGAGAAATTACTATAAACATTCTAAAAAAGTAACTTGATTATTATAGATCCAGAGTATTTGACAGGGATTTTACGAAGATCTGTCTATATATATTTTTTGATTTGAGGGCATTTTACAAAGGTTTACAATATTTTGTTTGAATATATTTTAAAGGCAGGGAAACTACACATCACCACCTAATATTTAAACATAAGATGATTTATTAAAATTGACTAGTTTTGATCTTTAGATCATAACCATGATCTTCATAATTGTAGATCAAAAGTATTTTGCATAGGTTTACAAAGACAAATTTGTGTAATAACTATATTTCAGGTCAAAGACATTTTACTGAGGTTTACAAAGATGAGTTTGTGTATATTTCAGGTCAAGGGCATTTTACTGAGATTAACGAAGACAAGTTTGTGTATATTTCAGGTCAAGGGCATTTTACTGAGATTAACGAAGACAAGTTTGTGTATATTTCAGGTCAAGGGCATTTTACTGAGATTAACGAAGACAAGTTTGTGTATATTTCAGGTCAAGGGCATTTTACTGAGATTAACGAAGACAAGTTTGTGTATATTTCAGGTCAAGGGCATTTTACTGAGATTAACGAAGACAAGTTTGTGTATATTTCAGGTCAAGGACATTTTACTGAGATTAACGAAGACAAGTTTGTGTATATTTCAGGTCAAGGACATTTTACTGAGATTAACGAAGACAAGTTTGTGTATATTTCAGGTCAAGGGCATTTTACTGAGATTAACGAAGACAAGTTTGTGTATATTTCAGGTCAAGGGCATTTTACTGAGATTAACGAAGACAAGTTTGTGTATATTTCAGGTCGAGGACATTTTACTGAGATTAACGAAGACAAGTTTGTGTATATTTCAGGTCAAGGGCATTTTACTGAGATTAACGAAGACAAGTTTGTGTATATTTCAGGTCAAGGGCATTTTACCGAGGTTTACAGAGGTTTGTTGTTAGAACAGCATCATGTTATCATTAAAAAGATGAGAGTTAAAGACATTGAAGATGGTGACTTCAGACTTGTACAAGAGGTAATTTGTCAGTTAACATATTAATATAAACTCTGTAAGTTAAAGAAATTGTGAAGTTAATGTGTTCCAGATGTTTATACAGTCTTGTTTTGCACCTATGTTGTTGTACATTTTGAATACATTTCAATGAACATGAGAAAATTTGCCAGATAGCTTAATGTGTAAATCTTGGTATACCGCTGTTAAATTGATGGTTAGATGTTTGTTTTCATCGTTTTCCAGTTTCCCCCAAAAATTTTGTGTTGTTTTCATATGTCTTGAAACCTTTCAACTTTAAACTATGTTGTATAGTAACATATATATATATAAGTATAGTTCTATAATAGTTAACTTCATTTACTACCTACCATTGTTTTCAGGCCTTTAGTGAAGGTATAGATAAGCTAGTGGCATTAGCTGACTACCAGTACTTTGTGGCTTATATGGGGATGAGTATGACCCCGGATGTTTGTATGATATTGAAGGGAACCAGTCATGGAAGTTTACAGCAGTTCTTACAAAGCAGGGATCCAACCCTTCCCATGCTGTCATTACATCATCTGTTAGATGCAAATATACAAGTTGCCTCAGCTTTAGTTTATATGGTAAATATACCTTATAAGTACTTTTTTCTGCGGGAACTTTATTTCCGCTATTTCTGCGGTTTATAATGACACCGCAGATTTAAAAACCACAGAAAATTAAGCCTTTCGCTATGTCTACATGTATGTCGGAATATGTCACCTACCTGTATTGTATAATTACATTACCATTGCCGTTATCAGCTTTTGTAGATGGGAATAATTTTTTCTTTATGTATCCGTCATGAATAAAATAATAGAAAAAAAAGTTACTTTACTTGTTCTTTTTGTTTAAAAAAATATCATGTTTGTATGATTTTCGCTCACCCTAAGCTTGATTTATTTTTAAAATAAAACTTTTATAGTTTGACGGGTGCAATAAACAAACCCTATTGTATTTGTACAATATATTGTGTCTACGTGCGAAAATTCCCCATTGATTTTTTTCACACTTCATTTTTATACAATGCATATTAAAATTTAATTGTTTTTAAATTGAAATTTGTGGGGTTTTTTGTTTTTTAAATTTTGTTTATTGCGTTCATTAAAACGCCGCCTTTCCTTTTTGACTTTTTAAATCTTTTTTTATTATCCCGGAAAGGGTGATCACGAATGAAAAACAATTATAAAGTCGCTGCATGAAACCGGGAAAGTAATTTACATGTTAAAAAACATATTTGAATGTTGTCTTTTGTTTGGGTTAATTTTTGTAAAAATATCAAAATCAAAATTTCCCAAAAATATAAACATATGTGAAAATGTACACCCCCAAAAAATAAAAAGGGCAAAATTTTTTTAAACCCCCTTATTTTAACCAAAACCCGCAATTTTAAAACCCTTCGCAGAAATAAGTACTTATACGGTATAGAAAAAATATAATTTTGAGTTTGAAGCTTTATTCTTATGTTTATAATATGATGCAACATATTTTGTTCAGGAATTATGACAAAGGCAATTACAAGCAGATGGTAGAATTGCAATTCAAGTCAGGATAGATGTGAAATTTATAGTTGAAACTTTGTGATAGTTATGTTTGACAAACTTCCGATGTATTTTAGTACAATTTTATATATTTTGAAATGTTATCAAAAAATATCATACACAGTTGTGTTTATCAACAATTGGTGAAATGATTTCAAAATAATTATATTAAACCATAATTACAAATAACGATGAATGAAAATGGTTCTTTGATTCAAAAATAATAGCATCATTCCATTACAACAATTAAAACAATTTATTATCATTAAAATAGATCAATGTATTAACAGTATTTTATTCAGAATATGATGAATCAGTTTTATCTTTTTTTTTAAGGGCAAATTGACTGAAAAAAACCCTTCCACAGGTACAAAAAGGCATAGGGGTAATGCCAATTTGTAAACAAAGGTTGTTCACTTCCCCCCACCTTTTTTTAAATTTTCCCGGGAATTTTAAATTTCTTTTATTGTTTAAGCTTAAACAAAGCTTGGTACGCCATTGTTTGGTTCGCCGAAAAAAAAATAAGGGAGAGGCACCTGGGGCCCCCTCCACAGTCAACTCGAAAGTCATGATTGCCCTTTTCCCTTGTTGGTGTGACGTTACCCCCAACCCCCCCCCCCCCCCCCCCCCCCAACAAAAGGGACTATGAACCCTTTCCATTCAGAAAAAATGCAAAAAAAACCCAAAATACAGTTGCCTTTTTTAAATTTTTAAAATTTTTTTTGTGGGAAGAAAAAAAATTTGTTCCAGGGAAACCCCTTCATTGGGGAAAAATTTTATCAGTGAAATTAGGGATAATAGGACAATGGTTGTGAGGATATTGTGACCCTGGACTTGTTAGTTTATATAACAGACTTCCTTTACAACATCCAGTAAACATGAAAAGGTTTTGTAAAACAATTGTTAGTATTTGTTAACATGTTACAAAGCCTCTTGCTGTTCGATAGTGACCACCTTCATTAAGTTTTGTATATTGTGAACCTAATAGAAAAATTTGTAACTAGCCATAGTGGTTACTTAACTAAAGAAAGTCTTGTAACTTTTGTATACTAACATGAGACTATTTTAGCAAAAACTCACGTAATATAAGCTGACTCCCAACAATTTTTACAGTACAAAAATATATTACATCTACAAAAATTTTGTGATTTAAACAAAATATTATTCCAACTCCTTCAACATTATGTTCTAGGAAAGGGTGGTACATATGAAAAATTGAACACTGTACTTCGAAATCTTCAGGTGACCTAATACTTTTTAATTTAAAACCTACCCTTTCGGCTTTTTAATTTTCACTTTAATGCTATGGGGCCTCATACTTAACTATTTTTTTAAAAGGTGCATGCTAAAAAAAATTGAAAACCTTTGTAAAAACATTTTAAAACAAAAATATTTGTTCTAAACATCAGTTTTTTTTAAAAACAAAACGAATGTTTTTAAAGTTTTTAAAATTTTTAAAAATCAAAATTAAATATGGAAAAAACTTTTTTAATTTTATTTTTATAAAATTTTAAAACTATTAAAAAATTAAAACCCCTTTAAAATTAAAATTTTGTAACAGACTTTTTCCCGTAAAAAAGAAGAAAATGTTTTTTTTTGGAAGGGCTGCCTTATATTACATAGGGGATGGGAATTTAAATTTTACATCAATGACGGGGTTTATAGTTTATTGATATTTTCAGGCTGCCCTGGCTTGCCCCAGAACTTCACTCAGACCTGTCATCTGTCACCGCCCAGTCAGAAGTTTATGCATATGGTACAACTCTATGGCAGATGTTCTCAATGGGCTTGAGCCCCATTGAACATGATCCAAAGTTAAAGAGGAAAACACCAGAACAGGTTTGTTGTGTAATTGTATGTGTTGAATTTCACACCAGTTCTAAAAAGGAAGCTATACTTATTACACAAATTTTTAGCATGTCTATTTCTGGAAAAAACTATTATGATCACCTCATCATTGTTGACATCGTCTTCTTTGTCCTCACGCAAAACCTTTAATGTAGCCAATGAAACAAGGTGCAATTGTTAGACAAATGTGATAATTTTGTAAGAAAAAAAACAACAACACTGTTTTAAAATGAAAAGAAACTGAAAAAAAACACACACCCAGAAAAACACATATCTGACAAAAGAAATGGTCAATTGAAACAGGTAAATGTCAAATTTGATAAAACAGAAATTTGTCATTTAACAATGGGGCATCATTACATCCTTTTATCTTCATATAGTTATTATTTAGATACAATTCTGATCATTTATGCATAAAAATCAAGAGAGGTTTACCATCCAGATTTGGAAATCTCAACATTTAAAGGTGTAAAACTACCCTATTTTCTCTAAAACCTGAATCTATAAGTCTAATTTATTAATAGATATGGAACTAGGATACTTGTAGTTTATAAACACACCTTGTTTAGCTTTATAATAAGATACTGCAAAAAATTTAAACTGAGCTATGAGTTGGATGTATCAACTTCCATTGGTTAAGATATCTAGCTATGTGCATTTCAGATTGTTAAGTTTTTTGCCGATGGTGATATTTTTAACCCCGTCCAGGTTTTTCCCAAAAAAGCCCGGGGAAACCCGGGGGGAAGAACAAAAAGAAAAGGTTTTTTGTTTTTTAATTAATGGTGTTTTCGGGAAAAGTGAATACGGGAAAGGGCGGGACCCTAAAAAATTCCCAAAGGGAAATTTTTAACAGCAATGCACAGACTTACGGTAATTATTATCCCCAGCCTTTTACGGTAATTTTTGTCCCCATTGTTATCAATGTAACAAAAGCTCTTATTCTATTTTATACAGTACCCATCAGAAGTCTGGAGACAAGTCAATAAAAAACAAGTATTCTTACCCAAAATGCTCAATTAATTCTATTTGAATGTATAATAATAATATAGGTTAACGCATGTTTTTCGGTGTTATAACATCTGCAGAGTCCCGAGAAACGGTTGGTGGCCCGAGCCCGGTAGGCGAGGGCTCCAACAGTTCGAGGGACTCTGCAGACTTTATAACACGAAATAACGTGTGTTGACGCTATTATAGCATAAAATTTTAAAAACAGATTCATGATGTACATTATATATAAAAAACAAACATTAAATCCTTGTGCTTGAACGGTATTTATCCAACTCTACATGTTTTACGTATGCGTTTTATTTTTTCCGGGGCCAACAACTTGAGAACCGAACGAAATTTCAAATTTTAATTGATTTAACAAAGTTTAACTTTGGAGATATAATAACTTAAGAAAAACATAACATAACTCTACCCAAGACAAAACAGGCGCCTCAGAAATTCCTAGAATGATTACAGATTGGTGGTAGGAAAAAGATCATTGACAGCAGATTCAATTTTAGAATCGTTTTTAGCTCGACTATACGAAGTATATGGAGAGCTGTCCTACTCGCCCCGGCGTCGGCGTCCGCGTCCAGATTTTAGATTAAAGTTTTGGTGCAGTAAAATATTTTTCACTATAACTTTGTCATTTCTTAAGGTATCAACTTCAAACTTCAAATATATTTCCTTATCATCAACCACATCTTATGTGACAAGGTTCATAACTCTAGCACCAATATTTACAGATTTATCTCCCCTTGAACTTAGAATTTTCCTTAAAAAATACTATTTCTTACTGTTTCTTGTTTATTTCTTAAGGGATCAACCTCATACTTCAAATATATTTACCTTATCATCATCCCCATCTTATGTGACAAGGTTCATAAACTCTAGCACCAATATTTTCAGATTTATCTCCCTTGAACTTAGAATTTTCCTCAAAAATGCTATTTCATACTGTTTTCTTCTTTATTTCTTAAGGGATCAACCTCATAATACTTCAAATATATTTACGTTATCATCATCCCATCTTATGTGACAAGGTTCATAACTCTAGCACCAATATTTTGAGATTTATCTCCCATAAACTTAGATTTTTTTACTAGAAAAATGTTATTTTTTATTATAACTTTTTTTTTATTTTTAAAGGGTATCTACCTCAAACTTCAAATACTTATTCCTTATCATCAATTACATTTTATGTGACAATGTTCATAACTCTTAAAGCAATATTTAACAGATTTATCTCTCTTTGAACTTAGGATTTTCTTTAAGAAATATGATAACTTCTTTACTTTTTAAGGTATCTACTTCAAACTTCAATATATATTTTCTTAGCATTACACAAATGTTGTGTGAAAAGGTCCATAACTCTAGCATGACTATTTCTAGAATTATTCCCCTTGATCTTGGAATTTATGTTAACAAATGTTATTTTTTTTACTATAACTTAATACATAATTATACATAATTGATTTTTCTTTCATAGTTTTGTCCTCCTTACTGCGTCCAGTATTTTATTAGTCGAGCTTTGCTGTCTCCTGTGACAGCTCTTGTTTTTAAGCATGCAAGTTTAAAAAAAATCAGGCGTAAAACATTATTCTCTCAAAGAAACATACAGAACATGTATCAATATTAACATCAATAAAACAACGTTTTCTTATATTAATTTTGTGCTTTCCATTTTTAGCTCACCTGAGCATATGCTCAGGTGAGCTATTAGGATCACTCTTCGTCCGTCGTCTGTCGTCCGTTGTACGTCGTCCATTGTCCGTTCACACTTTTCAAACGACATCTCCTCTGAAACCATAAGGCAGATCATAATGAAACTTCCTTGTTTCTTGTGTGAAGCCTTAACAAAGTTGTTCAAAGAATTCCATTCCATGCAGAACTCTGGTTGCCATGGCAACCAAAAAAAAACTTTAAACATCTTCTTCTAGATAAACCAAAGAGCTAGAGCTTAGATATTTGGCATGAAACATTTTCTAGTGAGTGTCTACCAAGATTGTTCAAATAAAAGCCCTGGGGTCAAAATTGCCCCGCCCCAGGGGGTCATTGATTTTCCCTATATGCATATAGTAAAAACTTAAAAAAAATCTTCTTTTAAAAAACCCAAAGAGCTAGACCTAAGATATTAAGCATGAAACATCTTCTAATGAGTGTCTACCAAGATTGTTCAAATAAAAGCCCTGGGGTCAAAATTGGCCCCGCCCCAGGGGGTCATTTGATTTTCTTTATATGCATATAGTAAAAACTTAAAAAAATCTTCTTCTAAAAAAACCCAAAGAGCTAGAGCTTAGATATTTGGCATAAAACATGTTCTAATGGATGTCTACCAAGTTTGTTCAAATAAAAGCCCTGGGGTCAAAATTGGCCCCGCCCCAGGGGGTCATTGCTTTTCCCTAAATGCATATAGTAAAAACTTAAAAAAATCTTCTTTTAAAGAACCCAAAGAGCTAGACCCTAAGATATTAAGCATGAAACATCTTCTAATAAGTGTCTACCAAGATTGTTAAAATTAAAGCCCTGGGGTCAAAATTGGCCCCGCCCAAGGGGGTCATTGATTTTCCCTATATGCATATAGTAAAAACTTAAAAAAAATCTTCTTTTAAAGAACCCAAAGAGCTAGACCTAAGATATTAAGCATGAAACATCTTCTAATGAGTGTCTACCAAGATTGTTCAAATAAAAGCCCTGGGGTCAAAATTGGCCCCGCCCCAGGGGGTCATTGATTTTCCTTATATGCATATAGTAAAAACTTAAAAAAAATCTTCTTCTAAAAAACCCAAAGAGCTAGAGCTTAGATATTTGGCATAAAACATGTTCAAATGGATGTCTACCAAGTTTGTTCAAATAAAAGCCCTGGGGTCAAAATTTGCCCCGCCCCAGGGGGTCATTGATTTTCCCTATATGCATATAGTAAAAACTTAAAAAAATCTTCTTTTAAAGAACCCAAAGAGCTAGACCTAAGATATTAAGCATGAAACATCTTCTAATAAGTGTCTACCAAGATTGTTCAAATTAAAGCCCTGGGGTCAAAATTGGCCCCGCCCAAGGGGGTCATTGATTTTCCCTATATGCATATAGTAAAAACTTAAAAAAATCTTCTTTTAAAGAACCCAAAGAGCTAGACCTAAGATATTAAGCATGAAACATCTTCTAATGAGTGTCTACCAAGATTGTTCAAATAAAAGCCCTGGGGTCAAAATTGGCCCCGCCCCAGGGGGTCATTGATTTTCCTTATATGCATATAGTAAAAAACTTAAAAAAATCTTCTTCTAAAAAACCCAAAGAGCTAGAGCTTAGATATTTGGCATAAAACATGTTCAAATGGATGTCTACCAAGTTTGTTCAAATAAAAGCCCTGGGGTCAAAAATTGGCCCCGCCCCAGGGGTCATTGATTTTCCTTATATGCATATAGTAAAAACTTTAAAAAATCTTCTTCTAAAATACCCAAAGAGCTAGAGCTTAGATATTTGGCATAAAACATGTTCAAATGGATGTCTACCAAGTTTGTTCAAATAAAAGCCCTGGGGTCAAAATTGGCCCCGCCCCAGGGGGTCATTGATTTTCCCTATATGCATATAGTAAAAACTTAAAAAAAATCTTCTTTTAAAGAACCCAAAGAGCTAGACCTAAGATATTAAGCATGAAACATCTTCTAATGAGTGTCTACCAAGATTGTTCAAATAAAAGCCCTGGGGTCAAAATTGGCCCCACCCCAGGGGGTCATTGATTTTTCTTTATATGCATATAGTAAAAACTTAAAAAATCTTCTTCTAAAAACCCAAAGAGCTAGAGCTTAGATATTTGGCATAAAACATGTTCTAATGGATGTCTACCAAGTTTGTTCAAATAAAAGCCCTGGGGTCAAAATTTGCCCCGCCCCAGGGGGTCATTGCTTTTCCCTAAATGCATATAGTAAAAACTTAAAAAAATCTTCTTTTAAAGAACCCAAAGAGCTAGACCTAAGATATTAAGCATGAAACATCTTCTAATAAGTGTCTACCAAGATTGTTAAAATTAAAGCCCTGGGGTCAAAATTGGCCCCGCCCAAGGGGGGTCATTGATTTTCCCTATATGCATATAGTAAAAACTTTAAAAAAATCTTCTTTTAAAGAACCCAAAGAGCTAGACCTAAGATATTAAGCATGAAACATCTTCTAATGAGTGTCTACCAAGATTGTTCAAATAAAAGCCCTGGGGTCAAAATTGGCCCCGCCCCAGGGGGTCATTGATTTTCCTTATATGCATATAGTAAAAACTTAAAAAAAATCTTCTTATAAAAAACCCAAAGAGCTAGAGCTTAGATAGTTTGCATGAAACATGTTCTAATGGATGTCTACCAAGTTTGTTCAAATAAAAGCCCTGGGGTCAAAATTGGCCCCACCCCAGGGGGTCATTGATTTTCCCTATATGCATATAGTAAAAACTTAAAAAAATCTTCTTTTAAAGAACCCAAAGAGCTAGACCTAAGATATTAAGCATGAAACATCTTCTAATAAGTGTCTACCAAGATTGTTCAAATTAAAGCCCTGGGGTCAAAATTGGCCCCGCCCAAGGGGGTCATTGATTTTCCCTATATGCATATAGTAAAAACTTAAAAAAATCTTCTTTTAAAGAACCCAAAGAGCTAGACCTAAGATATTAAGCATGAAACATCTTCTAATGAGTGTCTACCAAGATTGTTCAAATAAAAGCCCTGGGGTCAAAATGGGCCCCGCCCCAGGGGGTCATTGATTTTCCTTATATGCATATAGTAAAAACTTAAAAAAATCTTCTTCTAAAAAACCCAAAGAGCTAGAGCTTAGATATTTGGCATAAAACATGTTCAAATGGATGTCTACCAAGTTTGTTCAAATAAAAGCCCTGGGGTCAAAATTGGCCCCGCCCCAGGGGGTCATTGATTTTCCTTATATGCATATAGTAAAAACTTAAAAAAATCTTCTTCTAAAATACCCAAAGAGCTAGAGCTTAGATATTTGGCATAAAACATGTTCAAATGGATGTCTACCAAGTTTGTTCAAATAAAAGCCCTGGGGTCAAAATTGGCCCCGCCCCAGGGGGTCATTGATTTTCCCTATATGCATATAGTAAAAACTTTAAAAAATCTTCTTTTAAAGAACCCAAAGAGCTAGACCTAAGATATTAAGCATGAAACATCTTCTAATAAGTGTCTACCAAGTTTGTTCAAATAAAAGCCCTGGGGTCAAAATTGGCCCCGCCCCAGGGGGTCATTGATTTTCCCTATATGCATATAGTAAAAACTTAAAAAAATCTTCTCTTAAAGAACCCAAAGAGCTAGAGCTAAGATATTAACCCTTTCCCCCATGAGCATCATAATTGTGAAAAATGGCCATTTTCAATGAAAATCCTCCTCTTACAAGTTCAAACTGCTATGAAACTATGAAAAATGCTTCAATACTAATCAAACTTGGCACAAATGTTGACTGGACCATTGCCTTTGTAACGACATGCTCAGTCTTAAATTTCCTGTTACCATGGCAACGAGGGGACATCTCAAAATTGCCAAAAATCACTCTTTTGCCTCGATTTTTTCCATCAAAATTTATTTCAAAGTGACGCAACTTCACAAGTGATTGAGATAGAGTCAAAGGCTTTTCAGCGTTGGTTACACGTTACCTTATGATCAACCTGGGGTCATTTTAAGCCTCTCACAAGTCCAAAATTTTCTTGGCGACGAGGGGGACTTCGCCCCCCCCCCCTTCAAACCCCCCAAACAGAAGGGTGCACATCCCCCTTCTGGCAACCCCCTTATGTATCTTTTGGATGGGGGGAGGCGCCAAAAAAGTGCTCACTTTTTTTAGCAACATTTCTCAAACGAAAACATGTGTTTGGGGCCAAAAATAGGACATTTTCTCACTATTTCAGGCCTGAAAAAGGGGGGGGGGGTCGAAAGTGCGTTGTTTCGCGTATATATGTGGTAAAGGGTTAAGCATGAAACATCTTCTTATCAGTGTCTACCAAGTTTGTTCAAATAAAAGCCCTGGGGTCAAAATTGGCCCCGCCCCAGGGGGTCATTGATTTTCCATATATGCATATAGTAAAAACTTAAAAAAAATTCTTTTAAAGAACCCAAAGAGCTAGAGCTAAGATATTTAGCATAAAACATGTTCTAATGGGTGCCTACAAAATTTGTTCAAATAAAAGCCCTGGGGTCAAAATTGGCCCCGTCCCAGGGGTCATTGATTTTCCCTATATACATAGAGTAAAAAGTTAAAAATCTTCTATTAAAGAACTCAAAGAACTAGAGCTGAGATATTTAGCATGAAACATGTTCTAATGGATGTCTACCAAGTTTGTTCAAATAAAAGCCCTTGGGTTAAAATTGGCCCTGCCAGGGGGGGGGGGGGGGGGCAAAAGTCATTGTTATTCATTATTTGTGTATAGTAAAAACTTAACATCATGAAATATCTTCTAATGGGTGTCTTCCAAGTTTGTTCAAATAAAAGCCCTTTGGTTTAAACTGGCCCGGCCCTGGGGGCCTATGTTCAGGTGAGCGACCCCAGGGCCATCATGGCCCTCTTGTTGTAAGTTAATCGGGGAATTTTAAACTGAATGACAGATTCTATTTGTTTATACTGACAACTGTCCGTTTCTAAGAAAGGGCGACAACCAAGATAAGCAGCGATGTCTATACGACGTATTGCTGGCATAATTACTTGAATGCTGCTCGCCGTTATGCGACTGAGGCCCTCGAATTAATAATTCCAATATATCAAGAGCGCATGACTCTGGCAAACAGGCCAAATCGTCTTTTTTTGTTTGTTTACTGGGCCCTCTATGTATTGGGCATAGGTAAAACCGGGCTATAACAAGAGCGCGTGACTATGTTAACGCATGGTTTTGGCCCCGTTATAGCATGGGCAAAAAAGGGAAAAATAGCCGATTTTATGCTATAATACATAATAATTCATTCATGTCATAAATCATCACAAAAAACATTGCATAACTTAGATTAAAAGTATCAAATGCCAAATTTTGTGTCATCTATACTAATAGCTCAGCAACCAACAAACAGCAGTACTGAAAGCATCACTTAGTTAGTACTTGGTCTGTCCACCTCTAGCTGCCAAAATGGCTTGAATTCTCCTTGGCATATTCTTAACTAATGTTCTACATTTGTTAACTGACAACTCATACCCGGAATTACAAACATTGACAGTTCTCTCAAATAACCATGATGCTTGTTCCCGAGGTTCATTTTGATGTCATGCCACAAGATTGTGATGGGGTTTGATCTGAAGGCTGTGATGGCCAGTTATCCAAACACATAATGCTACTCTGGGAGTGCTATTCTTTCACTATCTTGGCCCGGTGGCACGGAACACCATCATCATGATACCAGAACTCATTTCCATACCATAGCAGAGCCAATGGTATGGCACAATAGCACAAAATGTCGATGTAACCTTGGGAATTCAAGTTTCCATGCATGAAATTCAGAATACCAGGTCCCTGGTAGCTTAAGACACCCCATACCATGATTCTGCCACCTTGAAGTTTTACTGTTGACACAACACATTTGTCCAAAAGAGCTTCACCTGGACGTCGTTTGGAACATGTTGAACTTCATCTCATTAAACAGAATAGTGGACCAATTCACCATTTCCAGTCAGCATGACTGTGCTCTAGCAAAAGCCAAACGCTTTTCTCTATGAGCATTGGTCAGTGGGGGCCCCCCTTTTTTTTAAGGGGGGAATTAAATGATTTAATCAAATTAAAATTTGGCTGAAGTCTACTAAAAAAATTTTGGGGAAATGTGAAAGCATTAACTCCAGTCTTTTTCCATGACCCCTTTTGTGCAAGGGAAACAATGGATCTTTTGTTTTGTAAAAGGGGGCCTGATAAGAAACGATCAACTCTTTTGAAAAAGGTCTTTGGGGGGCCCAATCAAAGTCAATCAGGGAAAACCCAAAGAGCCTAAAAATTGGGAATCCGGGATCTTGTAAACAGTGACCCTTTGGAAGTAAAAAAGGGGAATTTTAACCCCTAAAAAAAAACCATGAAAGGGTGATTTGTGCTTGCAAAATAATTTTCAAGTGTTCGGGCAAGTAAAAAGAAATAAAACAATTTAAGTAACTAACCTTCGTATTTCTAGAATTTGACACTTTCTGAATTAGCGACTCCTCGACTTCTCAGGGTTTCACTGAGCGCACTCTGTCTTCTTATGGAACCGTTGTATTGTAGTGGAATATTCACAAGAGTGACCATGGCAGTTATGTTGATATTTGGGCAGACATTTTTTATGAATAAACAAAGGTTTTTGATGTGATTGAAATCACTAGTTAATCGTCAGTTTTCTCTAAAAATATGTAAACCTTATTATAAGTTCATATAAATATGAAAAACTTATGACTTTCTTAACATTTATTATGCTAAAAGATAATAAATTGAGATAAAGTTATATTTCAAACAATAGAACTGCATTTGCTGGACAGATTTTGCCAACTTTACCCAAAAATCAGTGAATTGCTGTTTGTCTCCAGACTTTTGATGGGCACTGTAGTTATAATTATGTACCAAAGTTATTAAAAACAAATGGTTTTGTATGGAATTTATAGCTGAAAGATACATGTATGGCAGGTTTTAAAATCAGATGAACTATCATGTTGTATTTGAAATTTGAATTTTTTTATCTCTGTCCACAAAGTTGATAGTATTAGTAATTAAGTTGAATTATTTAGTGAATGATCTTGCACCTAAAACAATTGCCTGCAGTTGAACAATTTTACGCATTCATTAAAAAGCGAAGAAAAAAATAAAAAAAATTACAGTTTTCATATTCTTTAGTTCTACATGTATATTGATAAAAATTATTGATTGGTAAAAGGTATAACAAATATACAAAATTCCATTTAATCACAGGACCTTAATATTTAATCAATAAATCATAAAATGTACGTATATTAAAGATATAGTGATTTATTGATTAAATATACTATTCCTGTGATCAAATCTATCTCCCTATTACTAAATACAAAAAAAACAAAACTGTATAAGTGTGAAACAAAAAAAAAACAGTATTTATATGGCATAAAATATTTAAGAAACCATACAATTACTTATTTCAGAGGATACATACCACAAGTACAATGTAATTCCAGAGTACGATATAGATACGTCTTCCTATGGCGTTGAGACCAGGCCTCATTCATCAGGGTTTAACACCAACCATCAGAATGTTGTACTGGTACCCGATATTTCATGTCTTAAACAAGGTAATACAGGTAATATTGTACTGGTACCCGATATTTCATGCCTTAAACCGGGTAATACAGGTAATATTGTACTGGTACCCGATATTTCATGTCTTAAACAAGGTAATACAGGTAATATTGTACTGGTACCCGATATTTCATGTCTTAAACAAGGTAATACAGGTAATATTGTACTGGTACCTGATATTTCATGTCTTAAACAAGGTAATACAGGTAATATTGTACTGGTACCTGATATTTCATGTCTTAAATAAGGTAATACAGGTAATATTGTACTGGTACCTGATATTTCATGTCTTAAACCGGGTAATACAGGTAATATTGTACTGGTACCCGATATTTCATGCCTTAAACCGGGTAATACAGGTAATATTGTACTGGTACCCGATATTTCATGTCTTAAACAAGGTAATACAGGTAATATTGTACTGATACCTGATATTTCATGTCTTCAACCAGGTAATACAGGTAGTATTGTACTGGTATCCGATATTTAATGTCTTAAACAAGGTAATACAGGTAATATTCTGGAGGGTATTTTTCTTTGTCCATCAATGTGCACTGAAAACCTTTTGTTTAATTTGTCATTTTGTTGGTGACAATGTGAACATGATGCATAGAATATTAATTTAAATTACATTTCATTCAATTTGTGCAAAACTATGTCAATATATCAAAGAGAAAATACTTTAATTATTTAGTTTAAACATAAGAATTTAAGCTCATTTGTGAAACTAGATCTTGAAACTTGTATTAATTACTTTTGATTCTATATCCTGGAACTAACAATTCGTGGTGTCTTACTTACTCTGTGAAGTCTGAATCATTGTCTTTAAAACAACCCTCAGCTTTTCTAAAGGTTTAAACATGTTATTTATAGATAAATCGTTACATATAATTGTGAGATCAAAAGAATAAAGATGGAAAATGAAATTTGCGGACAGAAAAATATGCAAACAATTGGGAAACTCCTCGCTACCTCTAATAACCAGTCTGCTTTTTATATTTAAATTACTAAATAGGATGAATCATTTCCCAATCTCCTGTTTTTCATAACTGAAGTGTTATAGATAGCACTCAGGACACGGGTTTTAAAGAAAGCCATACAGTGATATGATGCTCTTTTCTTAGATTAAAAATAGTGAAATACTTAGTTTGAAACAACACAGAATTGTTTTTTCCAGCAGAAATAACAGTTGAATGCTGCTTTAACGCTTTATTTATCAAAGATGAAATATTTTATTTGTTATTAGTAACACATATTTTGATAGGTCATATGGTCCTATATAAGCGGTAGTTTGCATTTATAACCATAGCTGCTAGGCAAGGTTTTAATTGCACTTTTGATATGGAATGGAATAATGTATTAGGAAAGAAAATTGACTTTTCAATTGACTAAATGTAGTTAGTTTCAAATGTTCAATTATGCTTATCAAAATAAAGGAAACACAAAAGCAAAGTGTAAATGTAATTTAGTTTTCCAATGAATATAGATTCACATGCTACCTACTTGATTTATACACATACACAGAGTTAAATTATACACCTTCATATGACCTGTCTTGTTTTAATTGATGTTGATTTTATATGATTGTGAGGTACATTCTACATACAAGTAATGTGACCAGGTGGGCTTAAGCCCTAATAATAAGAATGGGACCTAACTGGCCCCAGCCAGCAATAATTTAGTAGACCAGGGTTTTGATATAACAACACCTGATTTTGTTTTATTTTGTATATATTTTCAAAGCCCTGTAAATAAACAATAACTATTATAACATGTTGCAATAATTAAAGATTAAGATATTATACATGTATGTTTATAAATAATTTTAATAAATATATTAATAGTTACATTTTAAATACTTTTGAAGTTAAGTTAGCCCTAGCCTTAAGTTAAAATAAGGTATAACAATTATATTAATAACCTAAAATAAATTTATATAAACAATGTAAAAAATAGCATATTTACCATATATATACATAAATACAAACAACTTATATAAATTTTATTTGCTTATTAGTTTTTCTGGCTTACATGTAGTGCTTTTAACTTAATTCTTAATTTTTAGAAATGACCAATAATAATTAAAATAAAAATAAATGTAAAAAAGAAATGTATAATTTAACAACTTTTTACAATAAAATTTAACCTAAAAGTAATTACAATGATACATAACAGCAATTATATTTAAACACAGCGGAAAACCCAATGCTTAAATAATCCTTTAAATTTACAATTAAAGGGAAGTAATATATAACTTAAATTAAAATGCAAAAAGGTTAAAATAAACAAAAAGACCAAAAACACAAACTGGTTACTGGTTGGGGACCACCAAAACCGGACAACCACCAAACCCGGACGGCCCCAAAAATGCTTAATTTAGTATATTCTTTGTTCATTTGTTGTCAGTCACTTTTTTATCAACAATAAATGCATGTTTCTTCTAAAATTAAGTATATAATTTTATTTCAACCTCCTTAAATGGTAAAATTTTAAAGTCTATTTCAAAAATGTTGACGTTGAAATTTGGGGGTCAAGAAAGCAATGCCTGACCTCATATACCAGCTATAATCATTTGCAGAGTTGACAATAGAATATCCAAAGCTTCAGCATTTGTTGCTGAAATATTATTTATCATGTTAAAAGTCAAAAATCAAAACATCCAAGCTTTTATCTGAATTAAATCTCGTCATGAACATATCTGTCCGGACACATGGTACTGTAGTGTAGACAATTTAGGTTATTTTGATACCCTCCTTGTCGAGCCTCAGATATAAGTGTCAATACGATCAGAAATGAACAAACTAGTTTGTTAGTTAGGGGAAGAACCTACCTGAACTTTGTTAAATTTTTAGGTCTCTAGATTAAAAATTATGAAATCTGTACGGAAAAATGTTCAAAAAGTGTCCGGTTGATGGTCCCTGACCAGTACAGGAACATGTTAGATAATTATAAACAAATACATAACATTGCTCTTATCATGATTATTTTGTGTAACTATAGGTGGTAACAACAATTTGATGTCTCCACCAAATAGAAATGAGAATAGGACACAAACAGCCAACCAAGCTGTTATAACAACAGCATTATTACGTCCTGTACATAATCAGCATTCTCCAGTTCAAGTGCCTCAGGCTGCAGGTGCCACAAATGTCGTAACTGTAGGTACGGTGGCTCCTAGAGTCGGTATGTCTCCAACCAATAGAATTGGAAGTTACAGTATCGAGAAAGGAAAGCTCGAGATTGACTGGAATACAGTACTTGGCAGAGTAAGTGTGTTGACTTATCTGACAAAATTGAGCCGCGTCACAACAAAACCAACATAATGGGTTTGCGACAAGCATCCATCCAGACCAACCTGCACATCCGCGCAGTCTGATCAGGATCCATGCTGTTTGCTTATCAACTCTATTACAAGTAGAGAAACTGATAGCCAACAGCATGGATCCTGATCATACTGCACAAATGTGCAGGCTGGTCTGGATCCATGCTGGTAGCAAACCCATTATGTTGGTTTTGTCGTGACACGGCTCCAATTTATAAAATTTAGTTAGTAAAGATACAGTTTTTTTTATGTCAATATTTCAGTCCAATGACACTTTTACCTTGTTGATATTTTATTACAGGCTCAATTTATTAAAGGCCCATTATGCCTCAGAATTTTTTTTTTCCTCAGAATCTGTTTAATTTTGGTCTACTTTTTATTTTAGGGTCATTATGGAGCAGTGTACAAGGGAAAGCTTCACCCAAAAGATGAATTATTGGCATTAGACCCTCAGGCAGATTCTGAGACGGTAGTTGTAAAAGGTAGTCACAACTTCTTATTATCTCATATAAGTTTAAAGGTACATAGTTCTCATAATTATGTATTTGTTTTAAAGTTACTTATATTTATATCAGATGTCAAGTTTCAGCATTTACAGTATTTCAATCTAGATTATGTAAGGTTTTTTAATAGCTGATATTGGGCCAAAGGAGAAATAAAGATATTTTTATTATTTCCTGATACTTGCAATAAAATTCACTATCAAATCAGTTATGCTCAAGCTGGCTAAGTTTTAAAAAATATTGGCCTCAGCAGTATTTATGGGCTATAGTCTGGTTTAGAGTTTTGATGTATAGGAATTTGTCTGAGGGGTAAGTTTTTCTCATCAAAACAACAAGTCATGAATGTAATATAAATAACAATAATAAATTCGTACATGATACTTCGGAATGTTTTGGAATGTAAATTACTGATTTTGAGTGAAATAAGACAAAAATTACCAAGCCCAAGATTATTGGTCTTGTTCACAAAATACTGCAAGAAATTAACTTGGTATATTATATACATGTATATAATAAAATTATATAATTTCAAGAGTGATACTCTATGGATATCAAATTGTGTGAAGTGTTTAATGTAGATAGAAAGATACAGGTCATACATTTCTAGAAATAGCAACATAAAAGAGCATGTCCGCACATTATTAATCCTTTGTTTGAGTTTTGAGATTGAAAACTTCAGATGCATTTGTTCATATAACTTTTACTAATTTTTTAACATGTACACTATTTAAATATTTCAGAAAAATGACTGTAATTGTATTTCAAAGTTTAATACAACTAAGTAATACAGTAAATACCTAAACATTTGTCAAGTAAGAATATTCTTATTTTTGATCATTTATTTTAAACTTTGTATCTGAACATTAGACACATCTGCACATTGTTTTTCATTGGAAATGCTAAAGCATGACCTTGACCCCCCCTCCCCCAATTCACTAGAAACTACTACATTATGGTAAAGTTCAATTGTATAGATACAAAAAAAAATCTACTTCAGTTTCTTCTATTTAGTGTTGTATTAATGCATTGACATAGTATTTTTTTTTCACAAATTCAATCTTGTTTTATGTAACGTTTACAAATTTTTGAACATGTATTATTATATTAGTTTTAAGACATGAGATGGCTGATACGTTTGGTGAAGATTTAAAGAAAGAAGCTATAGTTATGCAGAAACTACATCATCCTAATGTTGTAAAGTTTTATGACATATGTCATGGAGGTATGTGTAATTTTATAAACTTCAGATAGGTTTGTGTGCCAATTAATTTTTGTTTGATTGTGTTGAAGATAAAAATTTATTGAAACACTCTTGAATCAGTTCTGGAACCAACCAGTATTAAGCATAAAATTTCTTGCTCAAGGAAACATCAGCTTGCCCCTGACTGGGTTTGAACCCACAAAACCAGCAACCCTTAGTTTACCAGTCCAATGTGTTCAACATTTGGCCATACAATATGACAATATTTGGATAACTTAAAGGCTCTTTGTTATCTTTATCTAATTCATCAATTCCATTAAAGTCTTATGTAAGAAATGTAGGTCAGAATTGCTTTAGACTTGACCTTGAGTTTGTAGCATGCCTTTTTAAGTTTTTATGCCACCGCAGCATCTGCGATGCGGTGGCATATAGCGATTCACCTGTGTGTATGTATGTGTGTGGGTGTGTGTGTGTTGGTGTGTTTGTGTGTGTGTTATATAGATTATATAGTGAACTTAAAAAATCTTCTTGTGAAAAACCACTAGTCCAATTTCAACCAAACTTGGCAGGATTGATCCTTGGGTGAAGGGCTTCCAAAGTTGTTTAAAGAATTTCATTCCATGCAGAAATCTGGTTGCCATGGCAACCAAATGGAATTATAAGAATAAATTTAAAAAATCTTCTTGTAAAGACCCAAAAGGCATAGAGCTTAGATATTTTGCATAAGGCATTGTCTGGTAGACCTCTAACAAGATTCTTCAAATTATAGCCCAGGGGTCAAAATTGGCCCCGCCCCGGGGGGTCATTGATTTTCACTATGTACATATAGTAAAAACTTAAAATACCTTCTTGTAAAAACCCAAAAGGCCTTGAGCTTAGATATTTTGCATAATGCATCATCTGGTAGACCCTTACCAAGATTGTTCAAATTATAGCCTTTGGGTCAAAATCGGCCCCGCCCCAGGGTCATTGATTTTCGCTATATGTACATATAGTAAAAACTTAAAACACCTTCTTGTAAAGACCCAAAAGGTCTAAAGCTTAGATATTTTGCATAAGGCATTGTCTGGTAGACCTCTACCCAGATTGTTGAATTATAGCCCTGGGGTCAAAATAGGCCCGCCCCAGGGGTCATTGGTTTTCCTTATATGTATATAGTAAAAACTTAAAAAAAATTCTTCTAGCAATTGACAAATGCTAGAGGTTAGATATTTTGCATGAAACATTGTGTTGTAAACCTCTAGCAAGATTGTTCAAATTATAACCCTGGGGTCAAAATTGCCCCCGCCCTGGGGGTCATTGATTTCAATATATACATACAGTCGACTCTCGTTATCACAAAGTCATCGGGACCGTCCAAAAAATATCGAGATACCGAAATGTCGAGATAAACATATTAGGGTTTGAATAAGGCAGAAACTGATTTTTACAAAAGACATGTGCAAACCTTATGTCAAATAAACTATGATATCCCCATGTCTTTTTTTCATAGGCCTAGTCAATATTTAACAAATAAACATTAGCGGATGTTTACCAGCGGAAATACGGGTTTCTGTAATAAAAACACATAGTGAGGTTTACTCAGTAATACACCAATATAGTGAAAACATTGTTTTCAGGGGGGTTGATCCAGATTGCCTCCAGGGTTATTTATCCGGTCTTTCTCGATGTTGTTCGACCGCTGATTGATTTGGTGGTGATGTTGTGAAACAATATTGCAACGATAGCGTTTCTATACTTTCACTATTTCATTTACATTTAAAGTCATAATGAATTGATACAGTGTTCTAATATTTATAAAGAACGTAAAATTTACAATTTTGGACATAAGTCAATCAACAAGCTAAATAGATTAACTTTTATAAAAACAGCTAAATAATTATGTTACAAACATAATCATCATTATTATCGTCTAGTTTGTGTTTTTCACACGTTTGAAGGGAACAGACGAAAGAAAACTATTAGTCGAGATAAACAAAGGATAATAGTGTGAAAAAAACTCACGCAGTTGGGGCTGAAATTGTACATCGAGATACTGAAAATATCGATATAAAAATATCGAGATAAACAAATATTTCCAATATAGATAAAGAATTAAGAAAATCAGGACTTTCAAAATTTCATCGAGGTAACGAAATATCAAGAAAAGCAATGTCGAGATAACGATAGTTGACTGTATAGTAAAAAATAAAAAAATGTTATTATCTGAAGGTACAAGGCTTAGAGCTTTAATATTTTTTAAATAACATCATCTAAAGGTACTCTACTAAAGTTGTTCAAATTTTGCCTCTTATGTCAAAATTAGCCCCGCCCTTGGGAGCCATAGGTTTATGTTATATGTATATAGTTAAAACTTAAAAAATCATCTTCTCAAAATTTACAAAGGATAGAGTTAAGATATTTTTCATGAAACATTGTGTAGTGAACCTCTAGCAAGATTGTTCAAATTATAGCCCTGGGGTCAAAATTGGTTCCGCCCCGGGGGTCATTGATTTTCATTATGTACATATAGTGAAAAAAAAATTTTTGTCTGAAGGTTCAAGGCATAGAGCTTTGATGTTTGATATATAATATCATCTATAGGTCCTCTACCAAAGTTGGTCAAATGTCAAAAATTGGCCCTGCCTGGGGGCTGTGATTCTCATTATGCACACGTAGTAAAAACAGAAAATAAAACAAATGTTTTCTGAATGGGAGAAAGCTATAGCTTAGATATTTGACTTGAAATGTTGTTTGGTGGACCTGTATCAAGATTGTTTTTAAACCCTTGGGTCAAAATTATGCCTTGCCCAAGGGGACAGTGACCTACTTTCTTGTCCTTTGATGTACAGCAATGACATTTTGACCATGTGCACAGTTTTAGTTGTAAAATTAAACTTTGACCTAGATTTTGATGATGTGACCTACTTTCTTGTCCTTTGATGTACAGATATGAAATTTGAACCATGCGGTGGCATAGCATTTTTCTCAAATGTAATCTTGTTTTTTTTAAATAAATGTTTTTGTGCATTATAAAGTCTCCAGTTTGAATCTTTAGTCATGTTTTTAGTGGCACATTGTTTTATAAAACCTTTAAACTTTTACTTGGATTGAAATGAAGCAACGTGCCATTTGTGTTTATATATACAGTCGACTCTTGTTATCTCGAAGTCATTGGGACCGTCCAAAAAATATCGAGATAACGAAATGTCGAGATAAACATATTAGGGTTAGAACAAGGCGAAACTGATTTTTACAAAAGACATGTGCATACCTTATGTCAAATAAACTATAATATCGTGAATCGGATATGGTTGATTCGGATATCCTCCCGGGTTATTTATCGGGTCTTTCTCGAGATTGTTCGACCGCTGATTGGTTTGGTGGTGATGTTGTGGTGATATTGCAACGATAGCGTTTCTATACTTTCACTATTTCATTTACATTTAAAGTCATAATGAATTGATACAGTGTTCGAATATTTAAAAAGAATGTAAAGTCCATTCATTTTGGACATAAGTCAATCAACACGCTAAATAGGTTACTTTTTATAAAAACAGCTAAACTTGTTACAAACATAATTGTCATTATGACATGCGCTATTTATTGAGCAATTATCGTCTAGATTGTGTTTTTCACACGTCTGAAGGGAACAGACGAAAGAAAACTATAAGTCGAGATAAACAAAGGATAATAGTGTGAAAATAACTGTTGGGGCTGAAATTTTACATCGAGATACTGAAAATATCGAAATAGAAATATCGAGATAAACAAATATTTCCAATATAGATAAAGAAGGAAGAAAATCGGGACTTTCAAAATTTCATCGAGATAACGAAATATCGAGAAAAGCGATGTCGAGATAACGATAGTTGACTGTACATGTAATTTATATTTCTTCTCTAGAATACTTGTTTATTTTCTACAGGTAGATATTTGGTAATGGAATATGTGGAGAACAATTCCCTCTTCTCATACATAAGTAAAGAGAGAAAAAATCACCAAATATCAGAACAAACCTTCCTTCAGTTAGCAACTGATATTGCTGCCGTAAGTTAACATTTCACATTACCTGCAAAAATCAGTACTGTAGTGCAATCTTTATTTTCACATGGTTCGTACAGACCGCCTCCGTAGTCGAGGGGTTAGAGTCGATGACTTCTAATCCAGTTACCTCTCTGGCGTGGGTTCGATCCCCGGGAGATGCTTTGGTAGTTTAGCGCGGAGGAAGGTAGTCTAGTACTGGTGTAACTCTCCAGGAACAATGGTTAGGAAACTACCCGCCTATATGACTGAAATACTGTTGGAAAAAGGCGTAAAATGAAACAAACAAACAAAAACATGGTTCTTACAGTCTAAAAAAGTGCTTAAATTTGAATCTCTTTCTTTAAAAGTGCTTAAAAATGTAAAAAAATTGCTTAAAAGTCTTTGAATTTGATTACTCTTTTGAAAAGTGCTTAAAGAGTGCTTAAATTTGCTAAAAATGTGCTTGAAAATGTTTGAATCACAGAATGATTAAACCGCCTCCGTGGTCGAGGGGTTAGAGTCGATGACTTCTAATCCAGTTACCTCTCTGGCGTGGGTTCGATCCCCGGGAGATGCTTTGGTAGTTTAGCGCGGAGGAAGGTAGTCTAGTACTGGTGTAACTCTCCAGGAACGATGGTTAGGAAACTACCCGCCTATATGACTGAAATACTGTTGGGAAAAGGCGTAAAATGATACAAACAAACAAACAAACAGAATGATTATATGGTTTTGATAAAAATCAACGGTTAACAAAATAAAAAGAAAGATCCAATTAAGTATCAAAATCATTGAAATGTTTACTCAAGGCAACAGTAAGTGGACAAATTGCATTTATTTTGAACAAATCTGTATTTGATGCACCCTTTGTTGCTCTTGTATAATGTCAGAAAATGTGTATTCAACATAAAATGGTGAACAAACTATCCATCATAGGTTGAAGATTGTGTAGGTATATGTGCAACAAATGTGCTTGAAAAATGGGAAAATGTGCTTAAATAGTGCTTAAAAAGTCCTTGAATTTTGGCATTGGATGTCTGTACGAACCCTGTTTCAGTAGAAAGTTTTGTATAATTTATAAAATAAAAAGATATAGCAAAACATGATAAGAATGTACATGTACATCTACAACATTTGTAACTACCGTTAAGTTATATGTGTAAGGATTAGAATAATAATGGAAATTATCTGAAGGCTTTACATTGTACACGAGGCTTTATTATTCTTTAGCATGGAAGCTTCCAATATTAAGTGTTTCAATGTAAATAATAAAATCCTAATTTTCCTTTATATAGAACCCATATTTTAAACTTTCAGGGAATGGAGTATTTAGAGTCCCAGAGAGTGATACATTGTGACCTAGCAGCTAGAAATGTGCTTCTTACACGAGATATCCGTGCTAAGATCAGTGACTTTGGTCTGTCTAAAATTCTTACACAAGATAAAGATTACTATCGAAGAACTACTGACAAGACTATTCCAATTCTCTGGTAGGTTGTTATAAGTAAATGTATTTATCTATGTCATAGTTTACTTATCTTAGTGACAGTGTACTGATTTTGAAGGTTTATAGGTCTAATATTTGCGGCAAAAGCTCGTAATTTGCTGCAAATGCTCGTATATTGTAGGATTCAAATATAATAAAAATTTCTATTATAATTTTATAAATTGACTTGAAAATTTTTTGTATTTCTCCTATATTTATGTCAAAGTTTAAAATATAGTTGACAGTGTTGTTAGTGATAATGCTTTCAGTACAATAAACACAAAGAATGTAAGTAAAATTACCAACCTTTATTGGTTAACCGTTAGTTGATTTGTTGTAATATTGTTATACACCATAACTGCTGTTGTCTTCTCTTGACAGTTACTGTAATACCTATTTTTAGTAAATATCAATATGGCAGCTTGCATAAATAAGGGTCAGAAATTCTTAAGAGGTTTCCCCTTTCCACCTTTAACACTAAATCAAAGGAATGTGATACATATCCTAATTTTACATAGGTGTGCACCGGAGTGGGTTGGACATAAGAGATATCTACATAAAAGTGATGTTTGGAGCTATGGGGTAACAGTCTGGGAAATGTACAGGTATTTTAATTGTTAATAAAAATAGTAAATCATGGTTTAGTGATGTATTTACACACTGTCACAGACACTTGGGGTGTTGATGTTCAAACACATTAAAATCCAAACAAGTTGTATATTTGTCAGTCCCATGGCAAAAACCTATCATATTTATAAATAAAGCCTAATATCCATGTACAGTGGTTTTTTAAAAATAAAACAACAAAAAAACCAGACAGTTTACTCTCAGTAAGTTAAAATCGCCTTACTCAAAATTCTACTTTAGTCGGAGAATTTCTAAAGTCCCATCAAAATATCTTCTTTATCTTTGTACTTTAACTCTGCTTAGGTAAAATTTTGATTTACTGAGACTCCTGTTAAGTCGAAAGGAATGTTTAGTCCCGTCAATTAAAGTCCAACATATTTTCATCTCAATAAGTTGAAGTGTGTAAAAAGCCGACTCAGATCAAAGGTCGGTAACATCAAGGTGAGATGTTGTCATTCTGGATCACACAAAATAGCAATTTAAATTGTCGGTCATCATGTATAATTAACACTTCGTAAAGTGACTTTAATCGGTGAAAGGACTTAATTGGTTTTAACAGTTACATAACTAAATTAAGATTTAATTAATTATAATTAAGCACTGTTAAAGAAGTCCATGTCTGATTGAACGTGAATGACATTTGTATAATTAATGTTCCGTCATTTTAGATATGCATACATTAATATGTACATCCGATTCACGATATTTTGCTACTTTTGTTTTCATCTGATGATTAATTTGCATGAATTAAATTTTAAATAATATGTGCTGGAAAATAAGTCTTCTGATTGCTTTATAATATTTATTGCAACAAATATTTATATAAACTAGCTTGCTCATGAAAGACATTTGATTTTATTTTGTTTAAGTTTTGAAACATGTATAAGATATATAAATTTATCTATTTATAAAGCTATGGGAAAACTCCATACGCGAGTAAAAAAGTACCTTGGGCGCAAATAATAGATCTGCTTACCCGAGGAGAAAGATTAGAAAAGCCAAAACATTGTCCAGAGTATGTGTACACCCTGCTTCGACGTTGTTGGGAACTTGAGCCAAATAACAGACCAGACTTTCAACAACTTAGGACCAGGTAATGATTACTCCTTTTCTCCTTAATGTTAATTTTTTTGAATTGCCTCCCTTAGTTTTTGTTTTGGATTTAGCAAAAATGTATGCCAGGCATGTAACGGCAGTAAATTTATAGTGGCACTTCCAATAAAAGTGTCTTAATTTAATGTTAAGGTAGTTCAAATCACATTTTGCACACCATTGTAGGTATGAATTCTGCATTAACTTTGATTTTTTCAATCTTTATTTTTTAAAGTGATTGAGACGGTTGAGTTTTTATACCACATTTAGGAGTCACACTTCATGCACATTTTGTTTCAGATTTCAAGAGTTCTTGTCAGCATCTGTAATTTCATCTAGACCTAAACAGGTTGCTGTCAGGAGACATACAACACCCAGCAATCAGGCCAAGCATGGCAGTAATCAAAATAATGCTCCAGGTGCTCCTGGTACTGATGATACAACAAAGACAAATACTTTACCATCAGTATGTGTACAGCCTGAACAGAATCAGCAATCAACAAACAAAACAGGTGGTCATAGTAGGACAAGACCAGTAGTAAATGGGCATGAAACTCAGATACAGAATGCTGTAAGGCAATCTTCTGATGAAACTAATGTAACGTCTAGCATTGATGAAAGAACAAATGAAAATAAAACTGTAACTAAGGACATAAATGATGATCAGACTGAGAGAAAGGAAGTGCTAGCTGATCAGACTGAGAGAAAGGAAGTGCTAGCTGGTATCACTGACCAAGGCCCAAATTTAGTTAAAAGTGAAAATCAGTTAAGTTCGAGAGAAAATGAAAATTTGTTACCAAAACAAGGACACTCTTTAGTTAATGGGACAGGACACTCTTTAGTTAATGGGATAGGGCAATCTTCAGTTAATGGGATTGCAAATCATTCCAACCAATCACCGCTTAGCAGTGTAGCTTTAAACCAGTCAGGATCTGTATCTAGGCAGCTTTCTACTGGTTCCGGGCATTCTATCAGCAAAGAGAACAAGAAAAGTAGTGAAACAATATTGATTGACAAGAGTGACTTACATTATAGTATAAGAGATGTTCTTGGAAAGGTAATGATTAGTGATTTATTAGAAAATGAAATTTAATTTTAAAGATTGTAAGCTAGTGAAATTATAATATATAAATGGAAAAGATGATGATACCTGTACAAGAAAAATATGTTATGAAGTGACATTATCAGAATTAAGCTTAAAACTACTTTAGCTAGATTTATTAGTATTCAATTATTTTCTAATTGTTCTAAACTATTGATTTCATGAAATCACATTATGAAAATAACACTTCATATAACACTTATTTCATTTATTGTAATTCTATGTATGAGAATTTATGTCTTTTAATTTGATTGTTTAATTTATCTATCACTTCAGGGAGCATATGGACAAGTGTTTAAAGCAACTTATCGTGGTGAAACAGTTGCACTGAAACAATGTACAGTTGATGAAGAATATTCTAGATTCAGACGAGAATTTGAGTTATTATTCGCTTTAAAGCAGAATTCATCTAATATTGTAAAGTTCATAGGCCTGTACAAAGAATATGGTGAGTCAATCTTGTTTAATTATTAATGTTTATTATTGGCTCTGCTTTGGGAGATCTTTTTTTACTAAAATTTATTGATTAGTCATCAAAACGGGTAAGGTCTTCTTCTTATGCAGATCCAAGTTTTACAGTGATATAATTTAAAATATTTAGCGAAATGTGTACCACATGTTGTCTTTAACATATGTATTATATAAATCTTGTTACTTTAATTTTCTAAAAAAAACTTTAACAGGTTTTAACAATAGATATACAGAGCATTTTATCACATTTATCCATTAGCATTGCAAGTTTACAAACAAACAAATGTTTGAAAGATGTTTGCTGTGAAAGTTTACAAGCATATGACTGGAAGTTTACAAATATTTACAAACATATGAGTCAAAGTTTACAAACATATACATGCATGAAAGGCGTAAGCAGTGAAAGTTTACAAATATATGACTGGAAGTTTACAAACATATAAGTGAAGATTTATAAACATATGAGTGGCAGTTTACAAATATATGACTGGAAGTTTATAAACATATCAGGGAAGATTTACAAATATATGACTGGAAGTTTACAAACATGTCAGTGAAGATTTACAAACATATGAGGGGAAGTTTACAAATACATGTATATGACTGGAAGTTTACAAACATATCAGTGAAGATTTACACACATATGAGTGGAAGTTTACAAATATATGACTGGAAGTTTACAAACATATCAGTGAAGATTTACACACATATGAGTGGAAGTTTACAAATATATGACTGGAAGTTTACAAACATATGACTGAATGTTTATAATGAAAGTTTATAAACATGTATGAAGGGTGTTACTTTTTCTTTCAGATAGTTCAAAACATATGTATGTAATGGAATACCTTGAAGAGGGCTCATTGCACAACTATCTTATAGATCATAAACAGTCAGGAAATGTGGTTGATGCTAAGAGGAAGATACTGTTCCTGATAGATATTGCTAAGGTATTATTATACCACTACAGTTATACCATGTGACATTTTGTGATTTGTGTGGGGCAGGAAAATTAATAACTATGAATGTCCAGGTTTTTTTTCTGCCATAACTTTTCTGGTATCTCAATATTTTTTGTGAGATAAAGTGTAAAGTCTACTCATTCTTGTGAGTAACCAGGACAAAGAATGTTACTTTGGGGAAAAAATCATTATATTTTTTGTATAGTGAAACTGTTTGAATATTTTATTTTGGAATTTCACATTCTGTTTTGTTTGTTTGAATGGGTTTTATGTTACACCAACACAGTATAGGTCATTTGGCAATGTTCAAGCTTTACTTGTGGAGGAAGACTTCAAATGCCCTTAGTTTATCATTTCAGGCACAAACTGGCACCTTAACCTTTTCCCTTATATAAGGGTGGTTCTACGGCTTCCCCCCCCCCTTTTGAAGCCTCTTACAGTGAAAAAATGCCCTATTTAGGCCCCAAACACTGTTTTCTGTTTGAGAAACATTGTTAAAATAAAGTGACCACTTTTTTCGGCGCTGTCCCCCATCCAAATATTACATCAGGGGGTTGCCAGAAGGGGGATGTGCCCCCTGTTTGGCGGGTTTGAAGGGGGGCGGAGTCCCCTCATCGCCAAGAAAATTTTGGACATGTGGCAGGCTAAAAATGGCCTTAGGTGAATCTTTGGGTAACTAGTAACCAACTGAAAAGCCTTTGACTCTGTCTCAATTCATTGAGAAGTTGCAGCACTTTGAAATCAGTTTTGATGGAAAAAAAACAATGCAAAATAGTGATTTTGAGCAATTTTGAGACTTCCCCCCATAGCCATAGTAACAGGAAATTTACCATTGAGCAATGCTGTTACAGAGGCTATGGTGTAGTCAACATTTGTGCCAAGTTTCATTAGTATTGAAGCATTTTTCATAGTTTCATAGCAGTTTGAACTTGTTACAGGAGGCTTTTCAATGAAAACGGCCATTTTTTGCAATATGCTCATGGGGTAAAAAGGTTAATAGAACCACCAATGTCAGTTAGCTAGCTGGATAGCTTCCTCACATGAAAGTCCCTGTTGGGATTCAAACCCACAGCAATGAGGGGCAAGTGGTTTGAAGTCAATTACCTTAACCACTCAGCCAGGGACGCCCTTCACATTCTGTAAAAATTTACTTATTTTCCCTCTATAAAACATTCTACCGTAGAACTTCAGTAAGTTCAAGAGACTGGAGTAAAAACTGGCTATTGTATTGTTAGATGGGTTTTTTTTTTTGCCCCACGCAAAATGTCACATCGTTTACGCACTGTGTATAATATAGAAGCTGAAAATTTAATTCAATTCATGTCAGTTGTCTGATTTAAGTTTGATAACATCAATTGTGCTTGTTTTATAAATATTTCTATTGTAGATAATTGTTCTGTTTTCAACATGGCCCAATCAAATTGAAATACTGTCTTCTGTATTTATACCCCCAAACAACAAAGTTGTAAGGTGGGTATACTGGAATCAGCTCGTCCGTCCGGCCGTCAATCGTTTTTTTCTTGTCCGCCCAATAACTTAAGATTCCTTCGACCCTTAGTCTTCATATTTGGCATGTAGGTTAGTCATGATTAGTAGATGACCCCAATAGATTTTGAGGTCACTAGGTCAAAGGTCAAGGTCACAGGAACCTTGACTTCAAAAAGCTTGTCCACCCAATAACGTAAGATTTCTTTGACCTACAGTTGTCATATTTGGACTGGAGGCTAGTCATGATAAGTAGATGACCCCTATTGATTTTGAGGTCAAAGGTCAAGGTCACAGGGGCCTTGACTTCAAAAAGCTTGTCCGCCTAATAACGTAAGTCTCCTTTGACCTTCACTTGTCATATTTAGCATGGAGGTTAGTCATGATGAGTAAATGACCCCTATTGATTTTGAGGTCACTAGGTCAAAGGTCAAGGTCACAGGTGCCTTGACTTCAAAAAGCTTGTCCGCCCAATAACTTAAGATTCCTTCGACCCACAGTCTTCATATTGGGCATGGAGGTAAGTCATGATTATTAGATGACCCCTATTGATTTTGAGGTCACCAGGTCAAAGGTCAAGGTCACAGGGGCCTTGACTTCAAAAAGCTTGTCCACTCAATAACTTAAGATTCCTTTGACCCACAGTCTTCAAATTTGGCATGGAGGCAAGTCATGATTAGTAGACCCCTATTGACTTTGAGGTCAAAGGTCAAGGTCACAGGGGCCTTGACTTCAAAAAGCTTGTCCGCCCAATAACTTAAGATTCCTTTGACCTACAGTCTTCATATTTGGCATGGAGGCTAGTCATGATAAGTAGATGACCCCTATTGACTTTGAGGTCACCAGGTGAAAGGTCAAGGTCACAGGGGCATTGACTTCAAAAAGCTTGTCCGCCCAATAACTTAAGATTCCTTTGACCCACAGTCTTCATATTTGGCATGGAGGTTAGTGATGATTAGTAGATGACCCCGATTGACTTTGAGGTCACCAGGTCAAAGGTCAAGGTCACAGGGGCCTTGACTTCAAAAAGCTTGTCGCCCTATAACTTAAGATTGCTTTGACCCACAGTCTTCATATTTGGCATGGAGGTTAGTCATGATTAGTAGATGACCCCTATTGATTTTGAGGTCACCAGATAAAAGGTCAAGGTCATAGGGACTTCGACTTCAAAAGTTTGTGCACCCATTAACTTAAGATTCCTTTGACCCACAGTCATCATATTTGGCATGGATGTTGATTATGACTATAAGGTGACCCCTATTGATTTTGAGGTCACTGGGTCAAAGGTCAAGGTCACAGGGACCTTGACAAAAAAAGCTTCTCTGCTCAATTGCTAAAGAATGTCCTGTCCGCAATATATTGATTTTGACATTTTCACATTTGAAGCATGTAGAATACATAACTTAGCAATGCACTGGCTTAGTAACCTCATATTTGGCAGGGAGGTTGTCCTTGAGCTCTAAATGGCCACTGTTGATTTTGACAAAGTGGTATGCGGGGGTATTCACGCCATGATAGTGGCAGTTCTAGTTTGTATAACTTGCGTAACAATTTATTTTTAAATATATTGTAATAGTAGACAAAACAAATAATCTTTCTGCTATAGTGTTAAATACGATTATTGAGTTGATAACATTAAACATTTCATGTATGGAATATTGTCTAGAAATTTTTTAACTTATCAGAAAATTTTGAAATTATTATATTTCAGGGTATGAATTGTTTATTCCAAAAATCCATCGTCCATGGTGACCTTACAGCTAAGAATGTGCTGTTAACTAAAGACCTCACTGCAAAAATAAGTGACTTAGGCTGGGCAAAGGAGCTAGAAAATGAAGAGGAAAATGTAGAATATAGAAGAAATGATCCCACCTTTCAGCCACTATGGTAAAGTGTTTTATGACTTTTTCAAGCAAAAATTAAAGCATGATATGTTTTATCATTTCTGGCAGTATAATGTTGCACACTTACTGGCCTACATGTACAAATGCACACATGTACGAATGCTGTGCACACTTACTGGCCTACATGTACAATTGCTATGCACACTTGCTTACTGTTCTATGTGTACCAATACTATGCACACTTGCTTACTGTTCTATGTGTACCAATGCTATGCACTCTTGCTTACTGTTCTATGTGTACCAATGCTATGCACACTTGCTTACTGTTCTATGTGTACCAATGCTATGCACACTTGCTTACTGTTCTATGTGTACAAATGCTATGCACACTTGCTTACTGTTCTACGTGTACCAATGCTATGCACACTTGCTTACTTTCCTATGTGTACCAATGCTGTGCACACTTGTCCAATGTGTACAAATTTTATGCAGATGTATCGTCATAATGTTCCAATACTATGCACACTTACTGTCCTATATGTTCCATAGCGAACAAGTTTACCTTTTTCAGAAAGATCAATTAACTTCAACAAATGACATCACAGAATTTGTTCCAAATAATCAAAACAATATTATTACTCTGTTAAGTTTTATAGCTGTGACTTTCCTCTCCTGGCCTAAGGTAATCGTTTCTGATTGCCTGCTTCAGAGTAGGGGTGACATATAGGGATCACTTCTGTTTTCTGTCTGTCTGCCTGTTTATCTGTCCATAACAAAACTCGTCTGGACTACTCCTCAGAAACTACAGGTAATCATTTTTAATATCTAGATATGTTTCAGCTTCTACTTAAAGCAGAGTTATTGAAATTACTGACAGAAACAAATATGACTGTGGTCATTTACATACTTATGTTGTTTTTTTTCTCCCAAGTTTTTTCACCATCTTAACCAATGAATTATATCCTTCAAAAATAATTACTATTTATATTTATTGCAGGACTGCCCCTGAGGTATTTGAAAGATGTGTTTATACAAAGTTCTCAGACACATGGAGTTACGGCGTGGTCTGCGTGGAAACTTTCCAAGATTGTTCACCACCGGCCTATAATGTACCATTTGACCAATTGAAACAAAAGAAAGACACATACCTTAGAAACTTGTATGGAGCTATACTGAAGGGTCTCAGGATGCCAAAACCTGCACAATGTCCACAAACTATCTATAATGAGGTGATTGTAAAATGTTGGCAGAAGGAGTATAAAGATAGGATGCATTACAGAGAAATTATTGAAATTCTTTCCCGGTAAGTTACAAAGCTAATGAAGGGTAAATATTTTTTGACATAACAGTAAAAAATGTGGTACTACTCTGGTGCCAGCTTGTTCCTAAGAAAAAGCACAAAGGGGTTTATCTCCACCAGGAAAGCTGGCAAGTTGTTGTAAAGTTTAAAATACAGCAAAAGAGAAAATGAAGTACACAATTTTTAGTATAAACAAATAATTAAATTTTCAATATAATCTTGTAATATACAAGCATGTATAATACAGTGGAGAATTGTTCAGATAAAGTGTTTTAGTATTTATCTAATGATAATTTGTTTCTGTCTGTATTTTAAGTTATTTATTTCCATTTTGTGTTGTAAATATCATTAAGTAGTTTCACTTGCCAAAAATAAAACTGTTGCAAATGGTTGTGTCTAAATTTAAGGATTTTATTAATATAAATTTGTGACTATAAATATATTTTTAGGATTTATAAAATAACATAAATAATTGTACATCATTACTATGTACATCATAGTGCTGTAATATAAGTAACAGAAAGAACCTATCTGATTTGTACGAGGGGACATTGCTGAGTGTTTTAGATGTTTCTTTTGTATTATAGGCAAAAATAAAAACATGTTCCCTGTTGTCACAATATCAAACGTAAAAAAAAGTAACCAATGTTCAAGCATCTGAATATGATATTTCTATCGCTATCCCTTTCTCTGTTGACACAATAAGTAAACCCCTAAAAAATTCAGCAAATAAATGAGCATGCTCTGGAGTGTGTGTAACTAATACCTGCACTCTTGTTGCAATGTGCATGTGCAGTTGACTCTCGGTAACTCGAAATCCAAGGGACTGGGCATTTTACTTCGAGAGAAACGGAATTCGAGTAACGTGGATCTGCCGCCATTACGTTGACATTCGTACATGTATATTGAATGTGCAAAGAAGTAGGTTTGTTATTGAATATTTATCCGTTGAAATGACGGTAAATCACTTACAATATATAAATGAACAAAAATATATTATTCAAAATTTAATACATGTATATTAATAGTGAAACATAAAAGCAAACATTCGTTGCAATGACATAAATGCAAGTTTGTCAGTATTCATCAGTAAAGCACAATAACACATTCATTTCAACTACAATTTGTCTAATATTTTAAGTGAATTGATCATCGGATGAAAACGAAAGTAGCAACTATCGTGAACTGGAAGTACATATTAATGTATGCAATATGACAAAAGATTAATTATACAAATGTCATTTACGTTGATAACACACATCAATACCTAGGATGTAATTTGACTAACACCTGTCAGACTGGCATGAGTCAATTAATTTCTGAAACCGATTAAAACCACTTTTACGACATGTTAATAATACATGATGACCGGCAATTAAAATTACTATGAAACGTGTGAATCACAAGTGACAACATCTCACCTTGATGTGGCCGACCTTTGATCATTCGGCTGTTTTAACACTTTGACTAATTGAGATGAAAGTATGCTGTACTTTAATTGACGGGACCAAATTTTCTTTTCGACTAAACAGGAGTCTCGGTAAGTCAAAATTTGACCTAAGCGGAGTTAAAATACAAAGATAAAGAAGGAAATTTGACGGGACTTTAGAAATTCTTCAACTAACGCGGAATTTTGAGTAAAACGATTTTGACTTATTGAGAGTCAACTGTATATGTATTTGATTTAACTCTGTCACATTTTCAGCAGACAGGTCCACAAACTATTATACAAATGTATATCATAGTGCTGAGTATATATGTACATCATAGTATTGTGGCCCATGTACATTATAATGTGGTAGAAAATATATACATCAGTTTTCTATAATATATGTACATCATCATTATAGATAATATGTACCTCATAGTGTTGTGGCCCATGTGCATCATAGTGTGGTAGAAAATAAATACATCGTCTTCTAGAATATAAGTACATCATCATTATAGAGTTGTACATGTAGTTAATATGTACATCATAGTGTTGTACTACATGTATATATATATAAATCATAGTGTTATAATATCAAGCACCACTAGGCTTTTACCCTTACTTTAAATGCCTTTTTTCTCTTTTATTACAGATATGAGCAGACCTGTTAGATATATGTCAGTACATTGTGTAGTTAATGTATTGATTGTTGTTGACCCTAAAAAATTGTCCTTATGGCGGAGATACAGGAATGCAAGACAATGAAGAAAATTTCAACCATATTTAAGGCTTGCTGTTAGGACAGCTTCCTATCCTTTTGTTATGTGAATTATTATGTAGTGATTGTTTTTCAAGGGTTTTGTTTCTATTCACACATGTACTGTACAAATATTGCATTGACAGGCAATGGGAAATTCTATCAACTCTTTGCCTTGTTTGGTATACATATTGCTTTTTAGCTCGACTTTTCTATGAAAAGGGGAGCTATCCTACTCGCCCCGGCGTCGGCGTCGGCGTTAGCGTTGGCGTCACACCTTGGTTAAGTTTTTCGTACCACCCCACTTTATTTCAGAAGTATTACAAGTATGGCTTTGAAACTTACCATACTTGTTCACCATCATAACCTCCATCTACAGACAAGAGTACATAACTCTGTCAAGGTTTTTGACAGAATTATGGCCCTTTTTTGACTTAGAAAGTGTATTGAGCTTGGTTAAGTTTTTTGTACCACCTCACTTTATTTCAAAACCATTGGAGGTATTGCTTTGAAACTGAACATACTTGTTTACCATCACGACCTTCATCAACAGACAAGAGGACATAACTCTGTCAAGGTTTTTGACAGAATTATGCCCCTTTTTGACTTAGAAAATACATTGAATATGGGTAAAATCCACTTATTGCCTTAACCCTTTGAGATATTGCTTTGAAACTTTTAATGCTATTTCACATCATTACCCCCATCTGTACGCAAGAGAAGGTAACTCTGTCAAGGATTTGTTTTAAAAATTAAGGCCTTTTATCGACTTAGAATCTTGGTTAAGTTTTTAGTACCAGTCCACTTTTTGACTGAACTGTTTGAGATATTAATTTGAAAGTTGGAATACTTGTTTACAATCATGATTCCCAAACATGTCCAGGAGAAGGTAATTCTGTCAAAGATTTTATTTGAATTATGGCCCTTAACTGTCAATGTTTTGTATTATAGGCAAGCACTAAAAAAGTTTTTTTTTCTTTCTTACCAGCCCTCTTTTGACTTAAACATTTCAAACTTTGCTGCAGTGTTCAAGGGTATCACACAATTCAGTAAAATAATTCTTCACTAAATATCTTAATGCTCATGGCCATTGTTCACTTTAAAAATACAGAGATTCTTGTATTGCCTTTTACTGCAAAAACTTTTTTTATTGGCAAGCAATTAAAAAGTCGAGCGCGCTGTCTTACGGACAGCTCTTGTATTGATTTGTCATGGCAACTTGTCTTTAAAATTTGAAATTTTGTAGGATATTTTTTGTATTTTCCTCCTTAGTAAATGTACATGTTGATAAATAACAACTGATGTTATTAAATATTAAACATGTAAAGAGTAACATGATTGTGTTCTCTGTTGCCATAATGGAATAATTAATTTTTAAAATTTGTTATTAACAAACCAAGAAACTCTAAAATGTTTCTCATATTCTAGTCATCTAAGTGTTTTTATCCCCTGCCGAAAATACGGCAGGACAGCGGATATGGTTATAGTCTCCTTCTGTCCGTTCGTCCAGTATGTCCATTCTTCTGTCCCACATTTTATGCCTGGAGTCAATCTGGAAAAGTATTTGAGGATTTAACTTGAAACTTTGAAGATAGATCTCATTCAGGAGGAATGCAGTGCACAAGAATGAAAACTCTACCTTTCATAATATTTTAGTTATTGCACTGTTCTCATGCTTAATTATTTTGCTATTTTTATGTTTAATTTTTTTGTCAGGAGCATAAATTAACTTTAAAAGTTTTTTTTTTCAAGCTTTATTTGCAATTTTGATTTTGTCCAGGCTATAACTCTAAATGTTTAAGAGAGATATCAGCTTGAAACTTCATAGGTGAAAGCTTTCATATGCCAACTTTGTACATTTCAAGGTTATTGCCCTTTGATGTGTATAAATGCTAGTGTGGCAATAATTTTTCCCCTGTTTGGTGGTGGATTTGGCAGTCTGTGACTACTTCTTTGTTGATATACCTCTGATATAAAGTGCTATCAAGTTTATTATATTATATGTTGATATATTATAGAATTTGTGATACTGTTGCTACAAATTTGAAATACATATTTTAACAAGGAGATAAATGTGATTAAATGAATGTTAAAGTTTGTTACAGAATTGTTTAATAGCTTGACATATATATTTTAGCAAGAATGAGTAGAAATATGATTATTGTCTGTATGTTTATTATATATTTTATAATGTTGCTTCAAATTTGACATACATATTTAACAAGGAAATATGTGCTTTAATGAATGTTTAAGTTTGTTATGGAATTGTTAACTAGTTTTGACATATATATATATATATATATATATATATATATATATATATATATACGAGGGTTGATCAATATATTCATGGACGCTTTTAATAACTTAATAATTAATCAAGATATTATAAAGAATTTTCGCTATTTAGGAGAAGAATTTAATACTATTACAAATATATTGTGATTTTAAAAAAAAATTCTCATTTTGTTGATTATATGTATCGCCATAGCAAACCTATGCCGTACGAACGCCGCAGTTTAAAAAAGTTATATTTACCATTTTAAAATACTTAAAAATTGGCCTTATTTTGGCGCGCTTCTTAAAAATATGGAAATAATGGCAACGTTCTTTCATATCATTTATAGAACATTTAAAAAAAAAACAAGCTTCGCTACGATTTCTTTTGTTTTTTGGAGATGTTAATGGAGACAGGGGTGTGTTGCCAGAGTGGAGCACGACGTTGTTGGAGCAGAGGACAGTAATTAAGTCTGTGTAAATCTTGGTATGACGCCACAGCAGACTAAGGAAAACTTGGAAAGTGTATCTTGAACAAAAAAAGTGTCATAGTCGTTTGTTTATAAGTGGCACAAACGCTTCCATGAGGGTAGAGAAGAACTTCAGGATAATAAGAGATGCGGCAGACCAATCAAAACTTGTTTCAATGAGAACGTTATGCGAGTGAAATTGAAGGCAGAGGTAAAGGGACACAAGTTAACCAGGTTCCATGATTTACAGTCCAAGGCATTTCTGTGTTGCATTCAATTTAATAAGAAACATTTTCAGTCAGTGGGACCACAGGCATGAACGATGTGTAGAAGTTGGTGCTGCATTTTTAGAAGATGTAACGCCCACGTAACGTAAGTTGCGAATGAGCTGCGGTGATCAGCTTAACATGTATTTTTGAAAACTGTCATTTTGGATAAAATATACGTAATATTTATCTGAAACTTACACATCAAATTGATAAATGATTGAATAAATGTCAAATATAATTATATTAACTTTCCTTCCCCAAAAAAACAATTTATGGAGTGTGTCCACGAATATATTTGATCAAATCCTCGTATATATATATATATATATATATATATATATATATATATATATATATATATATATATATATATATATATATATATATATATTTTAGCATGAATGACCAGAAATATTATTATTATCTTTATGTTATGTATACATTTTGACACATATTTAAGAAGGAATGATTAGAAATATGAATTATAATAATAATTTATATATATTTGTAAGTTGAAGGGGTGATCATTGCTGATGACTTCAAACCACTTGCTGCTATTATTTCTTCAGTTAATCCAATCAAGCCAGTTACATAGATCCTAGGAATAAGTTATGTTTTTGATTTATTACTGCTAGTTTTAATGATTCTTTAACATGTAATCAACATAAATGTAGTTTTGTTTAAGATAGGAAGAAAATTGTTTTTTTTTTTAATTCATTGTTGTAAGTGGTTTTTCTTTGACTGTGTCAAATTGAAGATGCTTTTTTCAAATGTTTGAGCCTTGCTGACTAAAAGTGTGACTTTTGACAAATTATGACTTTGTACTTTGGTTAAAAGTTTACTATTATCATACAAAGGGACCAAAATTCCTAAGCTAATGGTTAAAGTTTATCATTTTATACTGGTCTGGATAGTACATGTTTGTATATATTTTTAATAAGTAAATTTGTTCATTGTCATTTTAAATGGTAAAATTGTTGATAACTGAATTGCTTCACCATTTTTGTTTTTATATATTAAATATTTTTAGGGAATGGTGTACTGTCAGGCTTTGGTAACAGGCTTTTAGTATAACATTATCAGATGTTAACATGCATTACTATATATTTTTAGAAAAGTACAATTTGCAGTTTTAACAAAACAGCATTACTGTTTTTTTAATAGAGTATTAATGATTTTTTTTAGATTTTTGTATAAAGTTCAAAAGAAGACATATTAGGGTAGATAAACAATTGAGGTAACTAAACATATTCACCTAAAACCTCATAAGTCGTCAATGGCGGAGTGATTGTCTTTGACTTAAAACCACTTGCCTCTAACTGCTATGGATACAATTCTGGCAGGGACTTAGGATTCTTTCATGTAAGCAAGCAATGATCCAGTTATCATATATTCAACAAACACACGGTTCATAAGAATTATCTTCTACATACTTATTTTTTTCAAAACTGTTCAGCAACATATTCATTACTTGCAAGATAACACTTTTATAGATTTCTCAAATAAAAGACTACATTGACTCTTTATTACACCTTTATGTACAGTTGTAAATTCACTTGAAATTTTGCTCATATATATTTCATTGACATAAATATTCGAATAGTTATGATTTGTCACTTAAATGTAGCCAGTAGGTGAACCAGGTCATTTTACATGCACACTTGGCATGTATGTATGTTGAGCCAAAATATCTACATGCATTTTTATATTTTAATTAATCTTGTAGATATAAAATTGTTTAGCTGTGTGCGTGAGATTGTTGAGCTGTATGCGATCTTGTATGAATTATCATTTTATTATAGGGTTACACTAAACAAGTACATGTGGAAAAACACTTGCCTGTTGAAATGTTTATAAAATTTGCTTGAGAAGCTTAATTAACGTCCCCACGAAGTTACAACGATAAGATTCGAATTATCACACGGTATTAAAAAGTCGGACAACCTCCAAACATCTGCATAATCATTGTGGGATGAAATGACCTCACATATTATCTGTCCTGCATAGTCTGCGTGAGGTAGATGAAGTTAAAACATATCAAAAATATGTTATTTTTGTGCCCCCAGGTTAGTGGCGGGCATTTAGATTTACCCTTGTCCGTCCGTCCGTCCGTTCACTTTTGTGTCGCACGTAACTCAAAAAGTATTTGACCTAGAGTCATGAAACTTTACAGGAATGTTGATCAGCATGTGTAGTTGTGCACCTGGGTATTTTCGTCTGGATATTTTTAGTATTTTCAGAGTTATTGCCCTTGACTTAGTAAAATTTTGCAATTTTCAACTTGTGTCGCACGTAACTCAAAAAGTATTTGACCTAGAGTCATGAAACTTTTCAGGAATGTTGATCAGCATGTGTAGTTGTGCACCTGGGTATTTTCGTCTGGATATTTTTAGTGTTTTCAGAGTTATTGCCCTTGACTTAGTAAAATTTTGCAATTTTCAACATGTGTCGCATGTAACTCAAAAAGTATTTGACCTAGAGTCATGTAACTTTACAGGAATATTGATCAGCATGTGCAGTTGTGCACCAGGTATTTTTGTCTGGATTTATTTAGTATTTTTAGAGTTATTGCCCTTCACTTAGAAAATTTTTGCAATTTTCAACTTGTGTCGCAAGTTACTCAAAAAGGATTTGACATAGTCATTAAACTTTATGGGCAGGTTGCTCAGCATATTTAGGTTTGCACCTGGGGTTTCGCTTGTGGATTTATCCAGTATTTGTAGAGTTATTTCCCTTGACTTAGTAAAAAGATTGACAGAACAGTGGCGCGGTGGGGGCACCCGTGTCCTATGGACACATTTCTAGTTATTGTTATGTTAATGCAATATTTAGCTATTGTGTTATTTTGTAAAACTAGCAAATTAACATGTTACTGTTATAAAGTAAGCGATAAATTAAGATAATGACCTTGAAAATAGTTATATATTATTGACTTAATTGGAAAAATCATGTTCTAATTAAAATCACGTTGACTGTGTGTATCTATCCCAATCAAACATTTACAGTGACAGAATTTTGTAAAAGAGTTTTTTATGTAAGAAAATCATTTGTTAAGATTGTGATTGTCACGTTTTCTGTTCAAATATCATATATCTAGCTGTTGAACTGAATTATATATAACCTTGTGTAATTCAAACCGCGAAATATCATATAGTTAGTATGCTTGTTTGTATTTACTTACATGACCATTTTATTGACACTATGATACAATGAGTTACTCCTATCATGTTCACTATGACCGAGTCGTCGTGCAAAACGTTTTTTAATGCAGCCAATTATTAAAATATTTTAAAAGTTATCACCATGAAACATGGAATATATTGTACTTGCTTATCATGACAAGGTGCAGGTACACAAGGGGATTAATTCTGAATGAAATATTTTTTGAGTTATACCCCCTTTTTAACAGTGGAGCGTTAACATCGCATGCAATGCTCTTAGTTTTGACTTAAAATTGTAGTGTGTCTGTGATGTGAATTATAATGGAGTAAATATTTCCGTAGACAAAATTATAAACAATAAACTTAGTAAGCTGTCAGTCTTTCAAAATGTTAAGTGAAATAATTTTACACCTTATTCATATAGATCATGACAAATAAGATGCTGAAATTTACTGACATGTTTTCTTGGAGGATATTTTTAGATTCAGGTGTGACTATACTTTAATTGGATGTTACTATTTTAGGGAATCTACATGTATGTAGATAATTATAATTTTTTTATCTGACTTGTTTGTTAAGAATATGTAGTTTGTGCCTTACATTATGTTAGTATGTTAATCCTTGAATGATTTACTATTTCATAAAATAAGTGTGCTGTAAAATATGTTATACTTGTTCTTTGATCATTTTGAATTATATACTGTACAGTAGAGGTATTAAACATATATAAATATATTGTGTTGTGTATGATTTTTAGCTCACCTGTGCAAATAGTGTTTCAAATGAGTGCACCTCTCAAACCAATGATGAAACTTGCTGTTCTTTGCATGATGCTCAATCGGAATAAAATCTGCTCCTAAATAACGCTACCATTAGGATCTGAAGATCACCAATAGGAGGTCACCTTCTCATGATTTTTCAAACAGCATATCATCGGCGAGCTTTCACATGTTTGAAATCGATGCAGTTTCTGATTTTAACCGATTG